TGTTGGACTCACTTCATAGCAGAAACCGATAGTTTCCCTCCCGGGCTCCGGCGTCGCTCCGTGACCGGGTGGTCTGATTCCTTCAGGCTCGGAAGCGTTCGCCCTAGAAGGTCTTGCTCGGCCTGTGTCATAGACCCAGTTGGGATGGGCTTGAAGCTTGGGAGGAAACAAACCATCACCGTCAAATAACGGAACTGGAGGTTGCATGTTCCTGAACTCCTCTTCCAGTTGTTGAATATAGGTGCCGTTTGGGATGATTCAGTTTTTAGGGTTTAGTTTCTTTTTTTCCGGGTTGGGTTTGTCTAGAACCAAGCCGATTACAAAAACGCATCAGTGATCAAAGACTGCAAACCCACGAACCGCGGCGTCTTCACAGCACGGTCATTACATCGCTTTTTTATTTTTGTTTGTCTGTTCATCACAGCTTGCTAAGATATCGCTTTCCAGGCCGCATTACTGCAAAACAACCAAAATCGCTTCTGATGTTTGCGTAGCGGCGTAGAGGGTCTGGAGTTCCGGACTGATAGCGGATAGCGTTATTCGAGCATTCGCTGGAGACGGGGTGCTGATGGAAGTTCTGGGTATTCGGATGTGACAAACTGGAGACAAGAAAGTTCGATGTCGATTCCGTTTCGAAGGTCCTTGGTCTTAACACTCAACTCAGCGGCTGATGCGGGGCTATCTACTTTGAGAGCTTTCAAAAACTGTCGTGGCAAACTGATCGCTACCGCTGCCTAGCTTAAGCAGCGCTGCAGCCCGTGAACGCAAAGTCTGGGCTGGATCGGCCATAACATGCCTCAGGCCACAGAAGAAAGAGTCAGTACAAGTCGGGTTTCGCCGCCCCTGTGACTACGGCCGGATCGTTGTGCGATGGTCGTCTCGCCTGTTCCCGACTCCGCTTGCTCACACACTCGCCATGTCTGTTTCCCGTCCCGATTGGACCTTCATTGTTTCTCGTGTTTTTTGTTCCCCCCCAGCCCCAAGCCTGTAGACTCCCGGACAAGCCCTCGCAACGGACGTCGAAAAATAGTTTACCCGTAACAGATACGGGTCTAGTGTTGTGTTCGGTTCAAGTAGGATCGCAGGACTTGGACAGGGCCCCATCTGGCATTTTGTGATTCATGTCTTGCCGCGTCATTATGGAACGTAGTTGTTTCGGGCTTCCATGATTGTTGCAGCACGACGGCGTTGATCGTCGGCATGTAACACGGCAGTCACGGTGACAAAATTTGTGTGGGATTTGGGTTTCCTGGCTTACTTTCGATCGGAGCAGACGTTTTTGTCGAGCACCATCACACTTACAACCAGGCAACATGTGTTTTGAGGCATTGACATGATGCGTCATGTGTAACACCGCATTGCAAGCACGGCTTCGTTTTCGATGTGGCAAATTGAAAATTGGTGGCGCAAGAAGTCGGCCATTTGCGTTAGCCCCAAGTACAAATGCATTAAATTATCAGCAAAGGACACATCCCAGGCGCCAGGACCCACAACAACATTAACGCGTGGTTTTGGCCCAAGTCTGGTGGTAACGCGCCAGAATTTCACGAGTAGTCTGTTGCGTATACATTCCATCCCTCCCGGTGGACATCTTATGAAATCACAAAGGACGGTGTGTCGACGTGGGTCTCAGGGGAAAGAAAGGCTTCAACAATACCTGGCCAGGACGTCGGCTGCTTGCGCACGTTCGTAGTGCCCCAGTGATCAAGTGGTGAAGATGAGGATTTATCTCCTCGCAGACACTTTGCCTTGCAAGTTACCAATGTTCAAGTTCCAGTCTTTTTGGGGAGTTTTTCAGTAGGGAAGTAAGCAGCGATTTGCACTTGTCAGATTGATTTGCATATGTAGGAGAGAATTCCGAAGGTGTGTAATGGCAGTCGAGGTCAGTGCCATTTGCCTGCCCAGCGCAGGGCTGGAATTGGATCAGGACTTGGCAGTATTCCCAAGTAAACCATGGTAACAGGTGATCCTGGATGTTGAGCAGGTAGGCAGGGACTCATGTCGTAGCCTCACCACAACAACGATCTGAGCACAATGCCGGCTGCGCGTGTGAGTTGCATTATTTCTTTCCACGCTTGCGTTAAGAACTGCTCCCTTGCTTTGTGAGTACCTGTATGACAACTTCGTTTTGGTTTTCCTTCCTCGTATGACTATGAAGCTCATACTCACCCATTTGCAAGTCAATTGCAGGAGTCCTTGCGCGTGGACGCTTCTGCAGCCTTGCCTCTTCACCTCAACGGTGAATACTTCGGGCCGGTTGAGGCTGACATGGCGAGTCAAATCATCTCTGACTCTCGGAGAGTGTGTGCCATCGATGGGCCTGGCTCAGCTAGTCCAGCTGGAGTTCGTGAGCTCCTGCAGGTGAGCCGCAGTGGGTTCCTCTACAAGCAGGCACCTTGAGTGAACGGCCGTGCTGATCCATAACGGCGATGTCTGCGAGCTTCTGTAGTTGCAGGTGTGGAGATAGCATGTGCATAACGTAGTGCATATGCGTTGGTCTTGATCTGCTTATTTACTTGGGTATTTATGTTGTAAGTTACTGTTAATTATCTTTTGCTCTATCAGAACCTACCTGCCTCTATACCTGTCTAGAGTCCAGCTATCCCTCTCTCTGTCTGAATCTTTCCCCGCTTCGCAATATGATATTGTGTTTGTCTATCCATCCATCTATCAGTTCGTTTCTTGGTTTATTTATTCATCCATCCGCCCATGTATTTGTCTGTAGAATCCCACTCTCTGAAGACTTATCCAAAGATCTGTATGTCCATCTGTCTCTTCGTCTCTTTGTTTGTTCTGTCTGTCGATCTCATATGTATATATATATATGTATAATATGATTTTATATGTACAGATATAGACAATTGCGGTTGATGTGCCTTCGCACACACCTGCACAGGACGGGTGGGTACCCAAGCTTGAATGATGACGACGATGGCTAGTTATCACCATGTCCAAGATCCGATCAGTGGTACTGTTAATTGCTCTTGGCGTGGCCATTGTCACTGTGACTTCCGACATTCTCATGTTTGTTATCATCATTGGCATTGCTAGTCGTTGATGTGCATTTCTCCTTACGCATGTATGTATGTATGTACGTACGTACGTACGTAGGTATGTATGTATGTATGTATGTATGTATGTATGTATATGCAGGTACGTACGTATGTGGGTAATATATATATATATATACATATATATATATATAGATGCTTATATGTATGTGCGTTTGAATGTGTGGGCCAGGTTGGCGCCGGCTCTCGCTGTACAGACTCAGCCGGAGGGCCATACAGCAGGCAAGTCGTGTTGGCTTCCAGGTTTGTTTTGTAGGAGTGGACGATGAGGGTGTTTTTGAAGGCTGCAGCCAGCCTATGCCTTCGGACTTGGCTTCTTGGCTGTGTATTGTTGGCTGCGATGCCGAGAAGCAAGGCATCGGCAGGTGGGGGGAAAATTGGGCAACCTCCTCACTGAGTTGATGGGCGTGCCAGGATCCCTTACTGAGCCTTACTGTGGGATGGTGCGCATGCGCTGGGGGTAGCAGCAGCATGTTGTAGTGTAGTTCATTCTTAAACCAATTAGCCGGGTGTTCCACAGCCTAAGGTGAGTGCATGGACTCGTGCAATGCGTTCGCGCTTGGCACATGCCATGGCGTTGGTTTCCAAGAAACATGGTGGCAAAATGATAAACATAGAGGAAAGCTCAGCATCTTGGTAACTGGTGCGAGAGGAAGAGCTGCTCAAATGATTGTTTCCGCTGCTTTCGCAGCATTCCGAGAGTACGCCAAGGACTCTGTGGGCTGTGTCCTCTACCTTGAGGCTTCGAAGACGCAGCATGTTGGCTTCGGGTTGTTGCTGGAACATAAATGTTTTTGGAAGCATGGATGGATTTGGGGTTGCTGTTTTACACAAATGTGCATGATGCATGACCAGCTTTGCTCCAGAACAGCTCAGCTGCCTGAAGCCGGTGAAGTCAAGTGACGGCTCGAGTTGGTAAGCCCGAGAGGCTGGTGCCGGCAGCAGTGATGCCCCGGGCCTGAACCGCCAGGCCGACACCGAGAATCGGAATATCATCGGAATTTGTCAGAGTATGATTAGGTGATTGGGTGCCCGTTGAATTGGAAAGCACTTTTCATCTTGACGCTCCTTAGCAACGCAGATTCGAGTGCATATGGCATTGCTTCCCCTTTTAAGGACTCGGTCCTGTCTGCAAGGTTTGGACACTCATCAACGGCACGGGGACTGGTCCTGTTGCCGCTTCGCAAATGGGTCTGGACGGGCAAGGCCCCGTGTTCTGCAGGGCTAAAGGCGATGGCTTAGGCAGGACTCAGATGGAAAGAGACTTTCGATTGAAATCACGGTGCTGCCTGCTTGGCAGCCCAAGCACCAGTCTTTCTTTCTGGGCTCCAGGCGGTGCATGCTACCGTCGACAGCTTGATGCAGCCTGCTATCCACCTGGACGTGTCCGAAAGATTGTGTGGGAGGGTTGTGTCCCGGCGAAAGCTTCCATCTGTACAGTGCAGGCAGAGGCTTCGGATCCAGAGTACTCTTTAGCCAGCTTGATGTTTTGCCGTCTCAGCACTGACAGCGCATGGCAGCATGGATCTGTGACTGAGACGCTCCGACATACGACCCTGCAGCAAGCCAGTTTCGACTCTTTCTGGCTGGCCTGGTGGTCTAGGTTTTCAAGATGGGGCTAAGTTTAGGTCTGAAACACTCTGAGCACAAGGCCGCTGTCTAACCCATTGGGCCCTGGAGCTGGATGACGCCTCGTTCGAGTCGCCGTCGCAAGTGGCGGGCTGCGGAGCTGCACATGGTTCGAGTGGACACGCTCGTACTCCTCCATGACCGTTCAGCCAGAGAGGCTTAGAAGACACGACTCTTCTATCATGACATGCCCAGATCCGAGATCAGATCCATGTCAAGGTCGCAACTGGAGAAACTGCGCTGGAGAAGCGCACTTGGATGGGGACGAGTACATACTCGGGATGACGCAGCACCTTGATTCAGTGGCTGCGAATGTTGCGCGAGGTGTAGGAAGGTGATAGCCCGATGGGAATTCGGGAAGTGTGCGTTGTGCGAGGTACGGAGGTGGATACTGCAACTTCTACGGCGGCTGGGGTCGAAGGTTTGATTTCTTCACCAACAAGCGTACAGTGGCGGCCCCAGACTCTTGATGTGTCAAGCGGCTGGTTCACAGCGTACATTACAGCATGTCTTGCGGCGAGCCGTGCCATGTTTCGCAGCATCGCGGACAGGTTCCAAAAGTGGCTTTGCAACCTTTTGCGCTCCTCTGATCGTTTCCCGCGTGTTGTCTCTGAGAACGGCTGACATGAGCCCGTGCTCCAGCTGCCTGATGAAATGCAAGAACTCGAAGCCCACGGTACTGCGAGTTCGAACGAGCGGGTGCTGCAAGATTAAAGTGTCGTAGTCGTCTCCTCCGTGCTCAGGTGAATGTGAAGGCACCAGGAAAGCCGCAGCTGCACGTCAAATCTGAGATCGCTCGACGAGCTGTGACGGTGAGCCGAACGCATCTTGCTGTCACCTATTCGTGTTTCCTTGGCCCACCAACTGTTTGAGGTGTCAAGCCTTGCTGCTTTAGGGTTGTACTCGTTTTGTTGATGTGGCTTGGCATCTCCATGCCGGACACATCGTCTAAAGCCCATGTAATTGTAATGTTTCTGTGTTTTTGCTGCCTTCCTTAAGGAAGGAAGGCGGGAAGTTCTTCCTCTTCCACAAGGCAGAGTGGCTGAGCATCTTCGGCCTGCTTCCGAGCCAGGCTCCAGCATCGAGCTCGGTTTCTGGCCGTGGCTGTTTTCCTTCAAAGCTTTGCCAAGCCTAAGCTTTGCATCTTTGGAGATCTTTTCCCTCCCAGGTCAAGACTCGGGTGAAGCAACTTCGCCAGACCGAGATCATCTGGGAGGGAGAGGTGCTGGTCGAAAGCTCAACCTGCCCCGGAACGAAATGAGTCGGAGGATAACGAAGAATCTCAATACACAGACACGCCGTGCCTTCATGCGCCGGGTGATCTATTCCAATCTTGGCACGTCAGAAAGAAGCCACATCCTGTGTCCTGTTATGTAGTCATGCAGCAGAAAGACGAGCCCCAATGTAGTCGTTCGCAACTCTGCCTGGAAGTCACCGGTGGCTTGTGATAAATGACCAACATGGAGGTGGTCGTCTGGGGCAACTCGAACGGCCTGCACGGACGACGATCACGCGAAGGCAAGGCGGTGAGTGCAGGTTTCATCGTCACGCAGAGACGCTGCATTCAACTGACAGCAGTGCTCCGGAGACTTGGGATTTGGTGTTGGGTTCTCGGCATGTTAAGCAGAAGCGAGCTTCATACCGATGCTTTCATCACCGGCTGTGACAACAGTCCGAACTGGGAGACGGCTTGAGGATTGTAAACTAAGCCCACTGTTCGGGCGAGAGTCGCCAAGCCGTCCAAGGTGAGCCTGGTCAGTGGCAGCTGAACGATCTGCTTGTCACTTGAATTCGAAAGCTTTTGCCAGTGTGGCATTTTCCAGAGAAGTCTTTCCTTCGGTCTTAGAATTGCTTCCTTCTCGGTGCAAGTACAGCGAAGCTGTGTAGTTCACAGAGAGCGTGCTCGGAGTCGCGATGCCCGTGTATTTTAGGGGGTCTACCATTGGTCTACCAGATCTTTACACCATTTGTCTGACGACTTCTTTCTTGCCGGTCTGTGACACTGCGTGCGAAACCCTTCCTGTCATTGCTTCATGTCCTAAGCATGCCCCGTCGCACAACATGGAGATGACTAAGAGCCCTTCCGTCATAAAAAATGCTTTGCGGGCTAGCTGTAGATGCGCTGAACGTCATGTCGCGCATTTCGCGTTTTGCACAATGAGCATTGCAGAGATGTTCAGAAGGAAGCATAGCAAGACCCCTGCTCTCCGAGTTGCAGAGGTACCTTTTGCCGGCCCGGATGCTGGTGCAATCGACTTTCTGCTCTCCAACAGGGCTTCTGCAGCTGTGGTGGGCAGCTTCCTGGCCGGTGTTGCGGAGAAGGACAGGAAGTCCTCGACGAAGGAAGGGGTGGTGAATCTGGAAGAGAAGGTGGGCTCTGGCAGCGGTCAGCAAAATGTATTTTGAAGTCTGAGATCCCTGCAGAGGTGCAGTTCTCCATGCGCCTGCAGCCCGGCAAGCAGATTCTCGGACCCTTTGTAGGTCCGGTGGCGGGGCTGTACCCCGAGGGCCGGGTCACCCAGGCCAGGTCGTTTGTGCAACGGAGCCGAGCCGGTAGGCTAATGGTAGCGCTGAACTCCGATATTGGCTCGCATCATGTCCACGCTGCGTCGCTGCGTGCCGTGCAGGTCGGTTTGGCGGATGTTTGCTTTCCCGAACCTCCTGTTGCTCTCAGCCACTGAGCTGCGTCGTCGTTTTCCTTTGTCGTGGCACATTGAGAACTTATCCAGCGAATCCAGAAGCGGGGTAAGCACACGTGCATTTCTAGTAAGTCTTCCCAAGTGCCAACGCCAAGGAAACGAAACAGCGGGAAACAAGTCGGATGAAGTGCCTCACGCGAAATCTGCTTCTTGCCTTGAAGGTGTAAGGATCTTGTGGATTCGAATTGGCGCAGGGCTGATGTGTGCGAACGATCTCGAAGTTTATTGTGGCCTTGCAGTGATACGTGATGTTCAGCAGCCGAGACCAGCCTCAGGTTGTGACACCTAGCTGCGGCGGCACGGGAGGTGGAGCTGCCTGCAAATTCCCGTTTGAGCCCCTCGTCGGCCTCAGTTTCTCAATCAGCTGAGTTTGGCGTTTCAAGAGGGTCGAAGAGAGTTCGCACCGTGGTTGCTGGTATTTGTTGAACAACTTAGACTTAGAACTCCAAAACGAGTCTGCTGTTTCACCCGGGCTTAGGTTCAACGGAAAGACCTACGAGACCTGTACCAAAGAGGGTCACGATCGGCCATGGTGTTTCACCGTGGCAGGAGACAATACGTGCCCTGGCATGACTCTGGTTTGTTGGGGGTCATGTGGAACTTTGGGTGGAGACATCTGTGAGTTTCCGGACCCAGCCCGATCAGGTGGGGAAACTGCGACTGCGCTGCATCGCTCATTTCTCTGGGATCCGCCACGTCTACGTCGGTGGCAGCAAAGAAGACGAGAGGAGCCTCAGGCGGAAGCAGAGACATGGTGATGCACTCACGGGGGTATTTTTTGAAGCTAATCGCAAGGATGAAGTGGGTAACCACAAGGACAAGTAGCCATGCACTCCCAGTCCCAGTGCCGCTCAGCGTTCCAGGTCACTTGCGAATCTTAGCCCGAACTGCTTTGCGGATCTAGCCAAGTCTACGGGACCGGTACGATTGTGGTAAGATTCCGATAAAATCTCATCGCTTCTGCCACAGCAATCCCACATTGGCAAGGTGGCAAGTCCTTCGAGTATGCTCTGTTGACAACCTCGACCAGGCGGGTTTTCTACAAAGCCAGAAGCATCATCATCCTTTGGAAGGGAATTGCACGTTTTTTTTGTTTGTACACGACGGCCAAACAGCTTTTCGGCATGGGTGCAAGTTGCAGACAATGTAGGAGCGGTTGGACCGTTCAGAGACTGCAGCAGCACTACTCCTGCCTCTATCCTGCTCCTTGTCCCAGTGGACGTCATGAGGTACTGGGCGATCGATCACACATTGGTGAATGGGCGGCCCAGCAATTTTTGCCGTCTGAACTTCTTCCACAAATCGTACTGCCGATCTTTTTGCAAACCGAGTTCCAGGTTTTGTGGCTGGTAGCTGGCTTGCCCAAGAGTCCCGTAAAGAAATCTGGTTGTTTTTTGTTTGATTTGAAAAGCTGATTTTGCAAGCTCAGTGGAATCTTTTTGGTGTGACAATGGCCTCAGACTGGCTGTGTTCGTCTAGTAAAGAACAAGCGGGGAAGGAAAGGCAAAGGCGATCGATACTGGCTACTGGTGCACAGCCTCAAGAGGTTCGTTGTGCCTTCCAGCATCCCCCTGAACCCTTTCCATCAGAACAAGCGGAGCATGTCTTCACCCGCCTGCTTGGGATCGATCGCAGGTGAACTCGGAAGTGGGCCCTTGAGTTTGCTTTTCGAATCCAACTTCTGATGTTTCAGACACTCTATATTAATGCCACAGTTCGTCGCACAAAGCTAAATTGCGAAGGCTTCGAGCAGTGCTCTTGCCCAAAAACAGCTTCAACATAGCACGAGTGGACCCAGTAACCCAAACTGAAAGCGTCAGGAGCGCTGATTCCGGCTACAGCAGCTGCTGGGACATTGGTGAAATCCAGATTCTCGGTTGCAGCAAGGTATGCCCGCCAGGGGGAGCAGCTCCTTTGCGGCACAATGCTTCTGTGTGTCTTTTCCAAGCTTCACTGCCGTGGAAGGGTAAAACTTCAGCCTTACTCACTAGCATGTTCCTTTGGGGGTTGATGCTGGAGAGTGTGCACAATGCAGTCACAGTTTTCTTCGAGTTGCCACGCACTCTATATCTTATGAACCCTAAGCCTGTGCCGTTCGGGCAGTGCAGAACGTGCATTGTGTTCTGCCGTATCAAGAAATGAGAGTTTGTTCGGGGTGCTCAGGTTCTTCTCGGACCGCATGTGCCGGAACCAGATAACCGCGACTGGGCTTGACAGAGATGTAGCCATGTTCAGACCAGCCCCCGGTTTCCGCGTGTCTCCGTAGGGTCGTGAGACTTCCAGCATCTCTTCTGTCGTCAGCCTGATATGCCTGGTCATGAAGAGGTCTGATCGCACCATGCATGGATATAAGTCTGAAGTCTTAAGTGGTGAGGGTTTGGGGCATGGACCAAAAAACAGTGAAAGAATGACGAAGGCTGGCCAACGGATGGCTTTAAGTTCTGTGTGTGCCGGAGGCCCTTGTGTCTTCAAGGTAGCCGGTTTCCACCTCCCTCCTGCAGTCCTCCAACATCCTCGAGGTGTCCTGTGCCAATGTAGTATTTGGCGAGATTTCAAGCCGTCCGGCTGTTTTGTCCTCAACCAAGCCAGGCGTCGATTCGCAGGCCTGAGTCTTTGTGTGGTGCTGTTGACCTATTGGACAAACTTCCGGCACAGATCATGCGGCACAAGGTGGCCTTGTGCAGGTGTTTCAAAAGGCGAAAGTGGCCACTGTCAAACCCGAGGGGATTGTGGCGGAACTTGCAGCTGGCTGCACCCATTTAGCTGCGGAGCCTGGAGGCTGTTCTGCCCCACGCTTGTCCTGCAGCCGCTGCAATCCCCAATGGGTAGCGGGTCGTTGTGAGCGTTTACAAGCCTCCAAACAACTCTCGGCGGATTGAATGCGTCTCGCCTGTGTCTCCTTCTTATGTACGGCGCATGACTGGGTCCTGGCTGCTTGTTGTTGCGGTGCTTATTGTGTTTTGCGATCTGCGGAACCCAGGAGTCTCTCAGTTCCTCCTTTCAGCGGCTTGCTTCTCTACTGGCCGAGACCGTGTACTTGAATTCAGCTAGCCTTTTCAAGCATCTGTTCCAAGGACATCGCAAGAATGCGGGGATTTCGCGATTCTCTTGGCTCCGAGATCGGCGCTGCCCATGTACGAGCTGACCTTTCTGATGGCATTTTCTGTTTCAGCCAGCCCTCTGAGAAAACTTCCCCTTGAGCCCGGGACCCTTAGCTTGGTCGTTGCCTGCTACTTGGAAACCGCCGGCGTTGTCTTTCGTTTGCCAGCCCTTTAACTCCTTTGTAGGTTTTGGATTTGCCTCTTCGTACTCCTTAGTAGGTTCTCCTGATGGTCTTTGTTTAGCACATCTCGGCGGAGCTTGCCGGCCCTGCGCAAATTCCTTTTCTGGTGTTTTGCAGGTCGCACTCGCAGTCCGTCTAGGGTCATGCAAGCCGCACCAGACTTTTATTGATTATGTGCTTCTGTGCGAACTTCTTTCTTGGTTTCGGGTTTAGCTTGCCGTGCGCTTTTTGCAGCGTAAGCACTTACACCGTTTTTGCCCTACTCCGGTCATCTCCGGCCAGCCTTTTGACATCCGGGTTTGAATGTATCCTGCCCTTTCTTGGCGCCAGTGTGGGAGTCAAGCTGCTCGTTCCGTTTTGAGGGCCACACATCTGTCGCAGGGCGTGCTTCAACTCTCACACATCACTTGGCGGCCACGCCCGGTGTGCGGACGCATGTCCTCCACAGCCGTCGCCCATGCTTTCACCAGCTCTTTGCAGCGTTCCTTTCTGAAGCTTCCTCAAAACGACGGCCGGCAGCTGCTCCTCGGCATCAGGTCGCGGCTACGTTGGAAGCCTCCGCAATCACATTCGCACTTCTACAGGTTGCTGCAGGGTGGTGGTCCTTCAGGTGTGTTCTTATCGGTGGGACCCTGGCAGCCTCCCCTGGCAAGGTCAGAACCATCGCCCAAAACTCCCAACCTCCGCCCGCCCACCGCTGGGTGCGGGCGCGTGCTTGCATGTAGCAGCCACTGCAGCGAGAAATTTGGAGCTTGAAGGTAACAGTTAGGAAGAATTGGCCTTGCATGTCAGGTGAACTCGAGATCCATCTCTGTCAGCACTTACGAGGCTCCGGATCAAGTTGTCATCCATGTCGACTTCAGGCTTTGGCATCAGTCTGGTTCTGGGTGTGCCAAATGCTTCCATGGTAGCCGTCGCAGCCCATTCCCCCAACCATCCTGATTGTGCATGCCGACCTTCCTAGCGGAGGACGGCCTCCAAAGCCACGAATACCAGGACCTCTCTGCCAAGCTTAACTCCCTGATTAAGCTGTCAGAGCTTGCTGATGGTGCTCCTGCTTTGCGTGATACCTTGCTATTCACGTCCATTCTGTTCTGCTGGGCTATGATAAGCTCGAGTGCCAGGAGATCTCCAAAGACATGCTCTGCCGAGCAGGGGCAGATGGGCAGTGGTACCTAGGAGGCCGAAGATCAGCCAGAGGAGGCAGGGCATAGTTGTGACTCTAGGTCGGAGCCTCAAAGATTGCGCTGGTGACAGGACTCTACGACAGCCTGGATGCCTGCAAGGAGCGGAATGCGAAGCGAATCTGCAACTCCAAACCCAGGAAGTTGTGAGCGTTCCGAAGAGCCTCTAGAGGTACAAACATGTTAAGACGGGACTTGGACCCCTCAGTGGAACAGTAGTACTTGCTTGTGCATGCACCTTGCTGGATATCAGACAAGACAATGCACATGACATTATTCTACTGCATGCGTGGCCAGGATCTCTGCACCACTGAGAGGAGACGCCGTCTTTCAGCTGTGACCCTGCAGATTGTGCTCACATCGTGGGCTCAGTCTTAGAGCTCTAGCCCAGGCAGCCAGATGCCAGAGCTACGTGTAACCGCTGAAGGTGAACCCTAAGCGATAGCGCCTACAGCAGCGACGGCAGCAAGATCACCAGGAACAAATATGTGGACATGGCCACCTGACCACTGCAGCCCACCAGCACCTTCAGCATCACAAGCAGCACCCAACAAGCAATTCAACAAGCACAACAGTTGCTGCAGCATTAGCATCACCAGCATCAGAAATAGCAACATGATCAAGCAGATCAGCAGCGACAGCAGTAACACCAGCAAAAACGAGGGCATCGACCCATCATTAGCCGACAAGAAAGAATGGCGGTGACACCTTCACAAGAAAAGGACAGATCACCAAAGCCGAAACGGGCACCACTCGTGGCGCGAAGGCGAGTAGGTAGTGGTCGTAGAAGCGGCAGTGCTGATCCTCGGGCCATGGAGACGGCTTCAATCAGCCGCAGAACCCAACGTCAAAGCCGTAGATTTTCCCGCTAATGCCGCCCCCCCCCAAAGCCTGACGCGCTGGCACTGCTTTTCTTGTAGTGTCGATTTGCGTAGAGGACGCCCGGAATCCACAACAGGACTGGAGTCCTCTGCTGTTTGATTTTTCTGGGAGGAGCTGCACATTTTTCGGATATCGAGCAAAGGATGGCAGAGCCTTGGTCAGCAAGAAAAAGGAACAGTTCCGTTCAGGGCCTGTGGGGTGCAGTCCTGTTACCAGTTTCGGGTTTAGGACCCTATGACCAAGGACGGTTGTCCTGCTACTTGTAGATCTAGTAGGCTCATGCATGAAGGGCAGTCTCCACGCACCCCGAAGGATGTGAGTTCTTCACCGCCTTCGGTGACTGCGAGAACAAGATGGGAGGCAGGATGTCCCTCTCGTATGTCTAGTATGCACTTCACAGCTGTCACACTTCGTGCTCGCAGGAGCACCGGGCTTCGCCATGTACAAGACCCTAGCATGAACAAAGTCGGACACTGTATCAGGTGTGTGCAAGAGGGGGTGACAGCTTGTTTGAATCGACCCTGTGAAGCCAAGGAAGTTGAAACCCCTTCAGACAGCCACGGCACACGAGGTCAGCTGTGCGAAGATGGCACTGCTGCTGGGACTTGAAAGAAGGGTTGGGGCAGGTGGAAATCTGAGGCTTTGTAAGTTGATGCCTCCCCGGTTGGTTGCGACCAGTCTCAAACTCCCGAGGTTACCCGTCAAGAAGGGCTCCATGGAAGCCAGGCCAGTTTCGCTTCTTCGTGTCAGTTCCGGCATGACATGCCGGAACTAAACCCCCGCCTCTTGTGGTAAGAGTAGGGCCGGCATTAGGGTTTTGCGTGGTGGTTAAAAGCCCTCGCGGGCGCAAGCTCGCGCAAGGGCGGGCGCAAGATAAATAACATGATAGCATATACATTGTATTCATTTTTGTGGTTTTGCATTGGATTATGTTGTCATGAGTGAAAACCCCTGTGCGCACAAGACGGCGCAAGGGCGGGCGCAAGCACTGTCCTAATGCCTGGGCATGGCTCCTTTAATTTAGAACAACATCCGCGTGAGCCAAGATCACATGTCGAGGTGCCGAAGCGGGAACGATCTTGGTGACGGCTTTGAGTACCTGTGCAGCAGTCAGAGCACTTCTTCTGGGAGATTGCTAGGGTAAACGCTTGTTCGACCGGGAACAGCCTGAGGTACATCTTCAATGTGGGTGCAGGCACTTCTGCTGCGGCCTGCGGCGAAGTGGCTCGGATGCAGTGGACCAGGTCCCAAGGTGAGGCCTGGGCCAGTTGGGTATCCTAGCTCACAAAGTGGCTTGCATCTCAGGCGTCTACGTGCGAGTGTTGCATGCGCCCGAAGAAAGCAGAGGCTCCTTCGACGGGCACCGCAGAGTTGGGCGGACGTACGAGAGTGCGAGAGAGACAGAGCGACCCCTGAGGATGGGCCTTGGCCAGTGGCCTCGAAGAGCAACACACACTGCAAAGTCTTCGATGTGACAGCGAAGGCCGGTGGCTGCAGTTTTGTGCGGATCCGGTGATCTCTGAGGCGTTCTGACCTTGTAGGTCGCTGTCAACAACATGGGGGAGTGTCAGAGCAAGGCCGTCGATGCCGGGCCACTCGCATGAAATGGGAGAGAGATTCAGACTAAGCAACTCTCTCAGCCAGTCCTGGGGCCCCAGGAAAGATCAAAAGCATGAAAAACGATATGAACAGAACATAAGTTGAGTATGCGAACAACGATGACCTGACCAACTTTCCGGACCCACCGCCAGAATTCTTTTTTTTTTGGTTTTGTCACTTCTTCCCTATTTGTTCAGTATTTTTCGGTGGGATGGGGATGCAGGAGGCGGTGGCGAAGCCAGGAATTAACCAACTCCGAGGGCAAAACATGAGATAATTCTGCAACATATTAAATAAGTGTGAGAGAGATGAAAAGACAAGAACAAGGAAATATATGAAAGACTTAAACTAGTAGAATATGAGATAATTCTGGCAAAAATGAAGGAATTTTGAACAATGTGAGACTGTGGGCGATCTCTCCTGTTTTCCATCCTTTTTGATGAACAGGGGCGGGACGCGGGGAGAGGGAGGACTTGGTCAGCCAAAGGGAAAACATGAAAAGTTGGAAATGTAGATATTAATATGTCACCGTTCTTTGCATAGTTGCTATTTTTCATACTGTATTCATATTCCTGCTGGTCGGCTCATGCTTTTTCATACATATTTCAACATTCTGGCCTTGTGCAAATTCAAAAATTCCTTGATTTCCAGAGGTTTACTTTAAGATTTTCTTGAGTTTCAGGTTTGACATCTTGGGCAGAGAAGTTACGGGGTCAGATTCGCAAACCTCGGTGGCCCTCAGACTGAGGCACGCCTTCTTCTCCCTCTTCGATGTCGGCGGCCCAAGCGGCCGGAAGGAGTGTTTGACCTCAGCGACCTGCACTTTGGTCCAGGACCAGGGGACGGGGTGCAACGAAGCACTAATCATATTATAGGGGAAAAATATTTTTCCCCTAAAATATGTTTAGTAGAAAGGCTGTGTAGGGTTGAGCCTTGACGATTGCAGGAGGCACGCGGCTGGCGAGTCTACGGTCGGCATCCAGCGGGACAGCAAGAAGCCTTCGGCCGTGGGAGTGCTGCACTGGGTATCGCACAAGGCCGCTTCAACTTCCCATACCTTGAGCTGCTTTTGCCCGCCTCCTTATCAGGTGTGTCAGAATGGACAGAGATTGCGGAGCCGAGCCTGGCCATCTCCAAGCTGGCCGGATCTTCAGAACCGCAGACAGTTGCTCGCGGCAGTGTGCACGTTTTTCAGGTCGATGGCCTCGATGTGACGCCCCTGCGTGCCTGGGGCCGGCAAGCCGTGTGGGTACGAGCCGAGGCTCAAGAAGTTTCGGCGAATGAATGCGGCAGTCGAGCGAACAGCGCACCTTGAAAGTTGCGGCTCCCTTCGGCTCCTTGGTTTCGTTTTTGGAAGGTGCCCGGCGAAGTGGGCTGCATCAAGGTCTTCCAGAGCGCGGCAGAGTCGTTTTGCCGGCAAGAAAGGAGGGGAATCTCATTGGACTTCAGGGGGAGCTGAGGACTTCCAGGCTTCACTTCAGGGACGGAATGTTTCTGAGGCTCTCTGGCTGCCGTCCCTCTGCCGCGGTGCAGGTGTGACGATCCGTGCACGGGTGTTGTTAGGTCCGTGTTGTCCGATCTCGCAGGTGAAGCGCCGCGCGGGGCCAGGCCTTCGATTTGTTAGCTGAAAACAGAGCTGGGAGCGTTTCGTAGCTGGCAGCTTGGGAGCGTTGTCAGAAGGTGCTGCGTGGATGCGCTTGGCTACAGCAGTTTGGCCGAGCACTTCACCAAGCTGGATACGAATTGGCCTCGCAGACTCCCAGTGCGTGGGGACCAAGAACAGGCTCGGCAGACGGGCTCAAGCCGTGTCGAGTTCGTTTCAAAGATGAACAACAAGCTTTTTCAGGCTTCGGCAAAGGGCCAAGAGATGCTCCTTCCAAGTTCTCTCTGTGCCAGGGAGCTGCCTCGCGGCTTCTCGGCTCCCTCGAAGGTTCCTGTTCTGGTGCCTTGGTAAGAACCATCACTGGACGTTCTGAAATAGCCCGGTGCCATCGCATGTACGCAGATGGTTTGAGCAGATCAGACTCTGAGATGCCTTGCTGGTCGCTGCAGGCACCCCTCTCCATCGCCGACATCTTCCGGGGCGCTGCCGCAGGGGATTGGGGCCCTGCAGCAGAAGGCGGTCCTATGCCGGTTGTGGGGCCTGCTAGTGCGTTTCTGGTCAAGAGTGTCCTTGAGCGCGAAGTCGATGTGTGATGTGCAGTTGCACGTAAAACATCGTAAGATGAGGTTGATAAGAAGCATGTTTTGTTGCTATTGCCTTGCGAGTCTTGCCAGTGCCAGCAGTGTCAAAAAAAGAACAGATTCTCCCTTCGCATCTGACTTTTCGCTCACAGAAACTAGCCGTGCAGGCAAGCATTTCATTGCGGTCACCACGTACCCGAAGAAGGACCACAGGGTTGTGGGTTTCGGCTTGGAAGCATTCTTGTAGAGACGACACTCCAACCCTTTCCACAAACCTGTGCCGGAGGACGGCTCGCAGGGATTGCGGGTTCTCTTCGGCGACAGGCTCTTTGGCTAGAGGGACTCTCATCACCTGTTGCCTTGTTGAGTTGTCGTCGTTTGCTGTTCGTTTTGTCACGGTCGTTTTGTCGCGGACAGCGGACTGCCACAGCTTCGGCACGCAAGGGTACTGAGCGTGCTTGTGTTTGAAATGGCCGCGAAGCCCGCAAAGCCTTTTGGAGACTGGTGTCTGATGGTTGTCTTAGTGTTTGTTGTCAGCTGGTCCTGCTGCTGTGGATGTTACTTTTGGAAGCAGTTGCTCGTGGTGATCGCTTTACCCTTAACACACTTTCACCCTGGCGTTGCAAGTTTACAGTATCAACTCTGTACCCGGTGACAGTGTGTCAGCTGGTAGGTATCCCCACACGGCACCGGCGGTGAACCTTCCGCCGTCAGACTGCCAGTTTGGTGGAGGTTTTGGCAGCTTGTCTGGCTACAGGACTACATGATACTGCTTGGAAGCCTGAAGGTCTCTATGGCAAAGTAGGCTGCCTGTGTTTGGGCTAGGTGCCGAGCATCACCACTATGTCGTGAGCTTCATTCCTTCTCGGTTCTACCGTATTCTCGGGGCAAGCTGTCTGCGAGTTCGCGGCTCCCTCAAGTCCTTAAGCCTTCGCCGAAAGAGCGTATCAGATAGCCTCAGGCACCGGCTCGATGCCCCTGCTGCAGGCCAGGAAGACGAGGCCGGAGCATCAAAGCGTGAGAGATCTTGGATATCGGAACAAGAAAGTCAGAGCATAGTCGATTCCCCAAAAAACCCGCGAACCCGAAGAGGCCTCTCCTCTCTCCTCCCTCGTCTCTCATCTCTCCTCTCTCCTCTCTCGTCTCGTCTCGTCTCTCCTTTTGAGGCAGGTGAGCTGGCCCGGAGCTACCTGGAAGATCTACGAGGGCCCCTTGGACTTGGGCTCACCGTAGCTTCAGAAACTGCGCAGTCGCCGAAAGCCAAGTAGAAACGGACTTAGTGGACCGATGCTTGGACGGATGCACCCACGAAGCGCATCACTTTGGGGGTGAGAACTCACACCTCAGAGTGAAACGGCTCAAATTCCAGGCTTCGAAGCCGTGAACCACTTGACAACGCTGTGCTGTACTAAACCTACAGCCCGCCATACAGTCATTGCTTTGCAAACCCAAGGAGAACAGACAGCCAAAGAAAGTCCCTTCGAGAGCTGTGGAATCGGCTCTCGAGCGCCGGATTACAAGAATCCGGTTCAATAGCCGAGAGAAAGTTGGACGGAGTGGGGATACGTTGTGGTTGCGCTGTAGCATCCCTCTCAGGACCGATGACTGTCTCGATCGACTTCGGGCACAGCGATGAGAATGTGAAATGTGTTGACCCTGACGAGGTGGGTGCGGCTTCTCCACTCCACCAGTGCATGGAGCACACATAGCGACGCTCAAAACAGAGACTTGTCGCCTCCTTGAATAGCCTTGATTGCAGGCTGCAGCATGTGATGCGGAGGTGCGGAGGGTACTAATTACAAGTTGAAGTGCTGTGCTTGCTTGTCTCGTCTCGCCGTGTTGTTCGCACGAAATGCCTGGACATTTTTTCAGGGCTACGTGTTTCACCTGCTGCTTCGTTGTTGGAAATAGCTTCGGGGTCTTGCTGGCCAGGCCAGTTCCGGCTGCAGTTTCGTTGCCAATGCCTTCCCGTGTCCCCTGTGAAAGGAAGGAGAGGCGATTTCATGTGCTCGTATTGTTCTTCAATGGCTCGTCCAGCAGACTAGCGTGTGTGTGTGTGTGTACGATGGAAGCGACGTCACTCCATGAAACCACCCGGGTTGCCTGCAGCCCAGTACTGTTGACCTTGAGCTGGGCTGGGCCCCAGGCTGTCCACTGACGGGATCTGGGCGACGATGGCAATAAGCCAATTAGCGCACGTTTTCTGGGGGCTCCGACGGCTCCTCCCAGCGGTCGTGACGCTGGCTAGCACATGCGAGGTTTTCGGCCCAAGCAGTCATGGATGCGGTCTGAGAGCTACCACCTCAAACTACCTCAAGCTGGGTTGAGCAATGTCGAGCCCTCTCCGGATGTGTTGACTCGTCAAGTCTCTCTTGGCAGAGACTGGGGAAAGGAAAGAACATGCCGGTGAGTTTCTTTGCATTCGTCCTGACTTGCTGCAGATGCTGTTGCAGGCTGGCAACCACCGCGGAGACGACTTCCCGGACCGCTTCACCATCTTCGAAATGGTGCGCCAAACTGCAAGGGGAGGATGTTCGGCAGTTGCCAGGGACACGCCAAGTTTTTCAAGACTGGCAGCCCGACGAGAGATCTCACAGTTTTGGTTTGATCATCCTTGGAAGCACTGTAAGCTCGATCCCCCTGCTTTTCCGTGTTCTTAATGCACGTGCACGTCGTGACAGCACGAGAGCCGTGCCTGCACAGACCGAGCCCAGGATGGTCAAGTTTGTGCCAAACGTGGAGACGAGCCAAATGCCTCATGGACCTCGGAGCTGCATCTCATCATCTCGTGCCCTGGCCCGGGTGGCTTCGGAAGCGGAATGAAGCGGTTCTGGGAACTCGGCCGAGGTGCAAGTCCGCCTCCGAGGCTGCGCGTGCACCTATCGCGGAGGTCGGGCAGCTGCTTGGGAGCCCGGGTGGCCTGGCTTCAGTTGGCCCTTGCCCCCTCGCTTGATTCTGTGCCGTCAAAGGAAGCTCCCTCAACTGCACCGCATCTGACACACCGGCAACCAGGCCGCACATAGTGTCGTAGTGGTGATGCCTCATCATCCAAGCCACGCGCTCCACAAACCATGTGGGGTAGGACTGTCCAGGCATGAAGCGTTCAACGCGAGTCCAATGGAAGTTTCTGTGTCGAGGCCAAGCAAGGCGAATGGAAGGTGAAATGATCTTGCCGGCCCTCTGGGCCTAGAGTTTCGTCCTGTGGCAATGTGAAAGACTCCACACTTCCCCAAATCTCGGCAGCGCATTTCTGCTTTGGCACAAGAGAAACTTGGCCCATTGAACATGGGCTGCTGTGTGAAAGCGGATGGATCTGCAGAACTACGCTACGCTCTCAGCTTCCAATACGAAGAATACGTGGAAATGCACCGCATTGCGCATTGCAGGAACCCACCACAGCAAGAGTCAAAGCCATGGCACTCGACGATTTCAGAAACAAAGGTCACGAATTCGGATAGGTTCGGTTCAGAGGATGGAACAGCTTGAGCCGGGCTCGTCAAATTGTGACGTCACTTTCTCATTTTTTCTGTTTACGTGTTTCCTGAAAGCGAGCCTTTAGCTGGCAAGCGAGCGAATGTCACAGTTTTCAGTCGCACCATGAGGCCATTGCATCGTCTGAAAGCCGGGTCTTACCATGCCTCCAAATCGTGTTTCAAGTCTTGCAAGCTATGACGAGTGCCAAACACCACAGAACGGCCAACAGCATAGATGTCACGGGCATTCAGGTGATATTGCCGGTCAAGTTGCCGCTCAAGCATGATGTGGCTCGTGTCAGAGACATGTCGACCTCCAAGGCTTTCTGCTCAGCAGAGGCTGGAGATGACCGCTACGCCACCCGGCAGTGTCTTGCTTTTTTTGAGGGTCCTTCGCCTCCGAGTCGGCAAAACACCCGAGGACGCTTTCCCTGCGAAATACCTCACATACTCCACAGGACAGTTCTACGGCTGCATCCGTCCTCGTGCATGGAAGTTTGGGAGCCTTTTCCATTGCAGGAAGTGAGGTCTGCACCGTTGCCACTCAAAGTCCGGTGCCAGCCCAGCTGGCAACCTCCTGCATGGCACCGGGACTTGCAGCTGTCAAGGACGGAAATCTAGTGCTTGCTCAGCTTGCAAGTAGTTTTTGCTGCGTTGTGTAGCGTGAATCTTTCGAAGGATGTTCGGACTGCAGTGGTGATCGGCTCCGGCGTTGATGACTTGAACCAGAAGCTTTGCTCTGGCTATTTCCCCTGCTCTAACCGCAAATTTTAGTATCAAATTCCTGGCTCCGTTACCCCTCCTTTGCTCCGCACGTTGATGTTTCAGATTTCTTCTTGGTGTCAATGTGTGACGACGTGCAACAAAGGAAGTGCACCATGCCACCGATGCCGGTGGCCTGCGATCGCGAGGCATGGCCTTGTTGCAGCAAAGTCTTCCCGTAGCAACGTATAAGTGCATGCTACTGTAAGTGTGTTGCTCAACTGCAGAACACTTACCCAGCCGACTGTAGCTCTTGGCACGGACTGTTCTGTTGCGTCGTGTAAGGTCGTGGCCCCACCTTGGCTAAACATGTCGTCTGTTCAGGCAGCAACGCATCGGAAGGATCCGTTCAGCCATCGATTTGATGTTGTTCCTTTACCAGGCGTGCTGATCCATGCACTGGCCGCCTAGGTTCTGAGTATCATGTATGGCGACCATGCAAATTGCTGCAAAAATCAGGGGGCCAGATCTGTGCCGTCCTCACCCATGCAGCGCCGGATTCGGCAAAGAGGCGGCGGTAGAGCGGGCTGGTGCTGAGCGGGTTTAAGCGCTTCGAAGACGGACTGTCGCGACCGAATTGCGACCTCACCAGACTTGAGCTCCAGTCGCTTGCACATGCACTTCACCCATGCGCCGACTGAGTTTCCGAAGAGCTTCGGACACTCTCAAGCTGCCAGGGCTGGTCCAATGCTGCTTGCTGAGGGCAGCCAGGGTTCAGGCAACCTGGCTGTTGTTTCCATGAGAGGTGCAGCTGGCAGCATATGCACGGGTAAGGGCCAAGCACAGGCCATCACTCTGAAGCCGCTGCGAGTTTCGAGGCAAAACCGTCGCTGGCAACCGCTGGCTCCAGGGCCGGAAGACCTTCAGTGGTGTTCGTGGATCACAGGAGATGTGTGGACCAGGCGGGTCTTTCTTGATGTTGTTAGCACATGTCAATGTGGTTCTGCGCAAGCTCCTAACAGCCAACACGGTTAAGCGCAAAAGCCTGAAAGGATCCTCCAGAAGGCTCCATGTGTTGCTATACGTATGACCTCAGTCAGCTGTGGTCAGACATGGATACTAGTCCTTGTCGGCGTCGCATTTGCATGAGCCGCCGGAGAGGTGATTCAAGCGGCACCTACCTCATCAGAATCTTTATAGAGCAAGGAGCCCGTCATCAGGCCAGGAAAAAATCCTTGTTTCAGCATTCAACATGCTGGATGTAGTGAGAGTATGGTGCGGCTGGATCTTGTTTCTGGTTTCTGTTCTTTTTGAAGTTGCAGGAAGTGATTCATCTGATTCGCAGCGTGTTCATGGCTGCCTGTCTTCCAAGCACCAACCTGAAGAGCCCCAAGCGTTTATCTGAGTTGCATTTCGTCTTCCGGCCTTGGCGTAGGGAGCACTGGTGGCATAGAAGCTGCCACGCTGGCCTTGGAGGTTGGAGTTGCCAGCCGTGCATGCTGCGATCAATCGACGCAGTCAGGGAATGGTACGCAACTGCGGAAAAGCAGCTTGGATGCAACTGTATGACCGGCATCGCAGCGCTTCGACACATAAGAGACGTAACAGCGTTGCTGCATATCACGAGGCAGGGGAAAGGCCGAACACATCGTTGGTTGTTGTGAAGCTAGGTATTAGCTTTGCCATGATCTCCTAGACTCCATCTTAGTGTTCGGAAACTTGGATTGGGAGGAGCAAGACACATCAAAGGGTAACATAAGTGTTACCCAGACACCAGCATCACTCAGTTCCGGTTCTCCAGTCAGGAAAGATGTGACTTTCTGTTTTTTCGACACTGATCTTGACGTCGATGATGGCAGGAAAAGCACAGTAGGGCGAGATTGCAATCTGGTTGCAGGTAAACATAGTCTTTGAATTCGCACGCACGCACGCACGCACAAGTTCTGCCATATATACTATACTTACAACCGCACTTTATGGTTGCATTGTGAGGGTCCCGAACCGTCCCAAGACTTGCCAGTGATTCGTCAACCGGTCTGCCACGCCCGCCTCAGACTTCGCTGCGCTCGCTTCGGCGCCCCGGGGCTGGGAGGCCCAGAGAGGGGCTGCGACACCGGCGGAGGCGGGGCTTGTTCGCGCGACTGTCGCGTGGGCTCCTGATATGCCGTGCCACGAACTAGCCGCTTCTTTTGTCTCCTTGGTTCTTACGCTGATTGATGATCGACCTTTGATGAGCGACTTTCGGGAGCAAAAGCCAGCATTACACCTGATTGCTAGGAGCCTGGAGTGAGTTGGTTTGGCGGTTCCTGGGATGGGCCGCGGGCAGTGACAATGGTGCTCTTGACAGCAATTGCAAAGGTCAGGCAGGGTGACACGCGCAGTGACAGATCGCCAGACGTTGTCAAGGTAGTCTCTTGCCTGAAGCGCTCCTTCACCCTGGGCCTGGATGGCGGCGATGACTTTCTGGGGGACTTGACGGGAGGGTAGAGGGCAATCATGGCACCTACCCCCCCAAAACGCTCCTTGATTGGCCGCCACTGGATCAGGTCTTGAGTGATGTGATCTTGAACTGATGCTTACATGATTCATCTTCGTGTGCATCCGCTACATTGACTCGAAACTCTACTCCACAGTAGATTTCAGCCTTTGCTTCTTTGGAAATTGGCAGGAGATGCTTTGGCCAGATACCTGGGGTGGTGTCTATACCTTCGTCGGTGGAATCGATGGGGACCGCTTTCAGTCCCGAACGGCCTCATGGGGTTGCCCTTTGCAAGTCTGTTCTTTGGTTTTGGCAGGACCACATTTACCGAGTCGAGTGGGCTGCTGCAGCATCTTGGTCGCTGTTCGTTTCGTGAAGCGACGCTCTTAGAACCAAATTGATGGGGCTGCTCCCGTTTGTTCAGGCCTTCGAAAGCCAGTTCCGCTGCGCCGAGCTCCCGACTGAGCAGGAGACCACGGGCAAAAGCGAGACCAAGACTCTGACTGATAGTCAAAGCCGTGGAGTTGCCGCTGCAAATGTGGACAGAAATTAGCTGGACAGGGCTTTCCGCTTAGCGGCGCCTACTGGAGATTCACCTCACGTGGCCAGTCACGGGCGAGGAATGAGATGATCAGTTTATACCCTGGAACTCCCAAGAAACCCACACGCCATGATATGCTCGCAAGATCTCACGGCACGTCGCGCTCCAGGGCAGCGACGCCGAGCGTTGCCTCCGTGGCAACGAGCTGGGAGATGGCCAGGAGCCGCTTGGCTAACCGATGCCCTGAGCGGATTAGTATTTAGAGAGAGTGCCAGACTGAGAGGCACTCAGACAGCAGCTTCCGGGAGGAAATCCTACTGCTCTTCGCAATACAGCTTCGTAGAACTTGAGATTTGTCTGAGAGGAAGATTCACGGGTGTAGCCGGGGTGCCATGAGTAGCAAGTCTAGTGATGGAAGGACATAGCTGGCCTTCAGGTGAGCTTTGACAGATACATTCAAGCGGATCCCTTTGTGGGAAGTCGTTCTCAAGAGAGCAGCGGAGCCGTGGGGGAAGGTACGCCTTCAATCTGGGCGAGTCGCCCAATGCACTGTGCAGTGGAGGCTGCGCTTGCTGCTCGAGGAAGGCTGTGGCTCGGGCCTGATTAGATGGAAGCGGGCTCGGAGAGTCGCACAGGCTCCAAGGAGTGTGCCTCAGTTGCAGGGGAACTTGTCAAGTTGCTGAGGTTAAGGGGCTGGGGCCCATGATTCGAGCCTCTTGGCTTTGCACGAAGAGCAGTCGATCGACTATCATAGTCCGTGCCGACGTCTGTCCCTTGCAGAGCTTAGAGCCTCTCCAGGCGCTGGACAGCTTTGACTTCGTCGGAAACGGCTATTGGTCTAACTTCAGGCGTCCGACAAGCAGAACTCCTGGGTACGGGCGGATAGGTTGCTTAATGGGTCGAATCCTTCGGCTTCAACGTCAACCCTTGATATCACCCCTTGGACAGACTGCATTTCCACAGAATCTACTAGAGGCGCCTTCAGCTTGAAGAGAATTGGAGAGGAGTGTAAGCATCGCCCTTGCGGGAAGGGATGGCTTCTCCAGAATCGGCATGGAATACTACCTGCTGCATGGCTTATCTTTGTTTTCGGCGCCTCTTGACAGCTAAACCCTAAACCCTAAACCCTAAACCCTAAACCCTAAATTAGCCACGTGGCCCCAAGGCCGGTGGATGCGCCGGGCTGCGAAAGCTGTGCCAGGGAATGCCTGAACTATCCGGACGATGTGACTTGGCCTCGTGATGGAGGGGTGGAAAGGAATATCCTACTGTCTCAAAAGAGAAAGTTGGGTTTGCAACTGAAGGTCCTTGAGTGATTTCAAGGTACCGCTGTGAGTCTTGATTCTCAGTGCTGGAGGAGTAAGGCTTGAACATGGATTTGCAGGGATATGAGCCTGGTGACCAGTTACCAACCAGGTTTGCAAGTGGATATCCTCTCCGGTACCTAGATGTGCAACAGCGAGGCTTGCGTCGCATTTAACACAGACGGTGGCGACTGCTCCAATGCTGCGAACTGCATGGTCTACACGGAGCGCATGGCTCAGGGAATCACTGAGCTCTGATCGTCAGCCGTGCCTGTCACCCAAACTTGTGCCTGCAGCTGGCTGTGTCGTACTCGGAGCGCTTGGTCCGAAGGCTGGGCACGCCCTACTCCCACGAGATCACGCGAGCCTTCACCCGGAAGCCAGCCTCCGTGACGACCACGGCCGGCCCGACGACCGTCACCACCACGAAGGCCGGAGCGGAGTCCGAGCGGAGTCCGAGCGTTTCGGAGAAATCTGGCTTCGAAGCTTTAGGCCTGGGACTTCGAGCTGGCTCTCAGCTGCAGCCCACAGCGAGACAAGGAGCGCAGAGAAAGAGCCGCTCTTCGAAGCGAATAACTCCGCACTCCTCAGGTGGCCTTCTACAGCGTCGGCTCGGGGACTTGCCAGGATCCGGAGCGAGCTTCGCACATCTTCGCACTATGCAGCTTTCTTCTTGCAGGATGCCCAGGGGCGCGAGGCAACCGCTGCCTCGCGACCGCTGAGCACAAGAGCAGGCTGCGAGGCACATTGCGAGGCACGGCAGATCAAAGCACAGTGGAATGTCGGCCCGAAATCCCACCCAGCTTGAGTTGCCTGATGTCCAGAGCGACAGCTTGGTAGGAGATGTCTGAATGCCTTGGCTACTTCCTCCAACCAGAGCTCTGCGGCTTGCCTGGACTTGACGCCGTAGCTTAAAGACATGAAGGCCATCGCCGACTGATCTGATGCTTCGGGGTCGGTCTTAGGATCCCTCAACTCGAAATACATAAGCTGCACATTCATTCTCTTGCCAAGGTACTCTGTACCTGTCCTCAAACTTGGACATCCCAGATGGTTGGAGCTGCTAGGCTTGAGGATGCTTTTCATGCTTTTACGAGTTGGGGATCCGGAAATGGTAAGTGTCTAGCAGCTGTCAATGAAGAGCATGGAAGCTACTACGGCTCTTCTGCACTCGGTTTCATGAGGCTTGGAAGCCAACGTGGATTCCACCATAGTCGACATCGTGCAAGGCCGGGACGTGCTGAGGGGAGGCTGCGAGCTCACGAGGCTCGGCTTTCTGACATCGGAAGCCGTGCTGCCAGGTTCTGGCACGCCAGCGGATGCGAACTGCATGAAGAAAGGTGCAGCCCTCGGTCGCGGAAGGGCTCGGGTCGACCCTTCGCTCGTGAGGTTTTCTTCCCTAGTTGTAGAAGTTAGGCCCCGTTGTGCGTGCTTCAAGTGTGGGTGTGTGTGTGTGTTGCAGATGGTCTTTTGCTCCCTATCACGACCTGCGAGGCTTGCATTACTGTGGATGGACACCCAAGCCTTCAACTGGAACTCCCTTGAACTGCGGCGGCTTGGCTGTTGAGTGATGCTGAGAAGGTTGCGAACTCTGCTTTGTTCCTGACATGAGGACATCTTCTGCGCACAATGATAATTTGAAAGGGAGCCGTGCGCCAGGTCTGGACTCACCTGACGGAGACGGATGCAGCCACAGTGGCTTGACTCAACTGGACAAAGAGAGACACATTGGCTAGTCGAGCCATCCTAGCCACACCCTTCAGCAGCCTCTGTGCATGGACTGGCTGCGTAACCTGAGCCACTGTGCAGATCTGGACAGCTTTGAAAGCCAAGCAGGTTCATGCATCGACGTCCTGGCATGCCAGGCCGGGCATGGTCGTGTCGCTGTCGGGCTGCAGAAACTTGAAGTTCAAGCATGACTTCGGGGCGAGCGGTGGGATGCCTGCAAATCTGAAGAAAGGTCTTGCCCGGAAATTGCAGGCGGCTTGCGATCGCTGCACAGGATGCGTGGGCTTTTCCTACCAGGCAAGGGGCCGCGCTTGGGGGCTGGCCGAGCTTGGCCAAGCCTGCAAGGGCGCGGGTCTGTTTCCGCGAGCTTGTAACCGGGGGATCGGCAGGCCTTGTCGGACTCCGGCGTCCGCTGCTACATGAAGAGCAGCCGCATGGCCTTCGAAGTTTTTGTGGGGCCGCGGGCCTGATGCGACCTATGAGCCGAGGCTGGGACCACTCTGGAAGAGCCTCTCGACTCGACTTCTCGCCCTCGCCCTCGCCCTCGCCCTCCTCTTTCCTTTTTTTCTGAGTTAGAGTCAGTTGCAGCCTTGTGGGGGACCGGGAGGCTGTTTGTAAGCAGTGTCCCGCACTGTCGGATTGAGGACTTTGTATCCTTGGCGCCCGACTCTGCGAGCTGGCAGTCTTACGTCAATGCCCGACACGGAGCTTGTGCCGCGACCCAGAGGTCGGGGCGGAGACGGTCCTTACAGAGCTTAGCAGTCTGTGAAGGCAGTGCTTTTTGATACGCCGCGTCCGAAAGCGTTTTGCCAATTCGAGCGTTGCGTTTGCTGCCAGAACGGTGCACTACTGTGGCTGGACGAAGCAAATCGCGCGGTCTGCTGCAGCTCGGATGCAAAGGTTCTGATACGTGGAAGGGCACCATTGCCATTGGGGAATTTCGGTCAATCACTCTCCAATTCAAGGGGCCACCCGCCAAGCTTGTGTTTTTGCGGACAATCGAGATTGTTCAGTAGCGACTAACCCAAACACCAAGAAACACCTCTCCATGAGGCCGGGGTTCACAGACAAGGACCCCGAGATGGTGAAAAGACTTTACTGGCAGGTTCCAGTGGACTGTGGCCTCCAGTCACCGGGCGGAGAGGGCTGCAGCACCGAAGCGCTGGGGCCTTGGACTCTCGTCTCGGAGAGCTTCTCGAGATCTCCACCGACCGAAGTGCGGCTGTCGGGACAGTTCCATTCCCGACATTCCTGCTCTTGGCCATCCGAGCCAGACCCCACTGCGGGCCATGGTCTAGTGACTCTAGTGATGTTGGAACATCCCTTTGGAACCGATCCGCGCCTTGCGCAAAGAAGCGATCGCGGACGACTCCATGTGCAGAGTTTCAGACTGAGAATGAAGTTGTGCTGTAGGAATCTGAGTCAGGCACCAGAAATAAGGGCATATCGTGGTTGCCAGCAGCAGCCAGCAAGGGAGTGCGCTCCTTTTTGGCGAGACTTTGCACCTCCGCAACGCGATGCGCATATCACTACGCGAAACGTTGCCGCTTCGTCAGAGTCCACAGCCTAGTTTGTAGTGCGACGAAGTAAAATGGAAGCACGAACGACATGGGTGAGAGGACGGAGTAGAAAAAGGGCCAGGCGGAACAGATTCTACTGCATGTCCCATCTCCAGTTTCAACATGCTTGCTCGTGGCGACGCACGTTCTGAGTGCTTGCTTCGGTTGGAGGGTTTGCGCGTGCAGTTGCCCGGTTTCACAGTATGACAGCCTGCGAAAGTGGCATGGTCTTTCCAGTTAAACGCACCACGCATGCCCAACAATTATATGGTGGATCACATCGGCAATGCCCCGTGCCCATCCGTCTCCATTCATGCGCTGCTAATCCTGAACCTCTAAACTCGTTTTGGGTGGCAGTTCCGACAAAATGCGGAACCCAACTGCACAAGGTCTACTGCTTTATAAGACGTTAAAGGTGGGGAATGTTCGTCCACCTCCATCGCGAACGAAGTGTTCGCGGCGCCCTACCGATGTACTCAAACCTTTAGCTGTCGTGCACAGAAATCCTCTGAAGACTCTGAAGTACTTCATCCCATGCCGTTTGTCGTTCAATTCTTCCGTTCCTTTCCTCTCTCCTCACTTTCGCCTTGTGGTTCCTCATGGCCTTGAGGTGTCCGGACTTGGCATCCTGCAAGGCTGGGGAGTTCGTCCTGCAGAATCAGCGGTAGGGAGGGGATATGCTCTGGGTGCCGCCTGAAGCCTCAAGCTGCAGCTCTGGCTCGAAAGGGTTTTAGGCACTGCCTCAGACTTCCGGACATCATGAAGCGCAAAGCCGAGGACTCGAGCAGGGTCGGTCCTTGGGAGTGCCGGGTCACAGTCGCAAGGGCTTGTGCCACGGCTTCCCTCAGGTGGCTTTCTTAGCAACCCGGTTTGACATGTCGCCCATGCATATCAGGATGTTCCCGGACCAGCCGCCAAGAAGAAGACAGAGGCCATGCGCTTCGCGAACAAGACGCAGGGCGCAAGATTGTTTGATTCCAGCCAAGGGCGGCGTTGTCAGAATGAATGCTCGATAAAGGCCACCCTTCTCGCAGGGTCTTTCCATGATTGCTACGAAGCACAATAAAGCCCAAAGCCTGCCACGTAAGGAAGCTTCTTGTCCAGCTCTGTGGCCGGGGCGACTTCCTGCGACGTTGGCGTCGCGTGCAGCTCGTGCGGGAGGCAGGAGGAATCTGCCCATCAGCCCAAGACGGGATCCAGACTTCTTCAAAGTACAGCTGCACCTTCAGGTTTGCACCTGAAGAGCACGTACTCGTGTGTTTGTATATTGTTTGCACGTCGCCCAAGCCAGGAGAGCAATGGTTAGTGGTCCAGTGCCAGACCTCTGCTTCATCCAGACTTGACAACCCCGAACCGAACTAGCACTCGTCACAGCAGGCCCTGGCAGAAACGGCCGAGTGCGAAGGCCCAGCGGCTCTTGCGGTTGGCCAATTGGCCTGCACATGACGCCATGCGTGCCGCTATATGCCGCTAATGCAGATGATCTTGGTGCTGGTGCCCTCTCTGCTTCCTTACCCTTAGCGGCTAGCGTGCGGCTGCTTGATACAGCAAGCCCTGGTTCAAGTTGTTAGTGGCTGAGCTGTCGGAGGCTGCCAGAAACTACATGCCGAAGGCCGAAAGAAAAAGTTCAAGGTGCGAACCTCTGCGGGGTTTGTGCTGGGGCTTGGCAGAAACCCAGTCATACCCTGCCAAAACTTTACTTGTGAGGATCCCTTTTCTGCTGTCCTTTCGGTCGAGCACCACTTCCATGAGCCCGAGGAGAAGATTCGGGCCGTGCATGACTCTTCTCGGCATTGACATGGAAGTAGAGCGCTGCCGGTCTTTTTGCTGAGAGGAATGTGGCCGCCTCGGTGTCCTTGTGCATGCCGTGGCGAACCAGCATCTCGGAAGGTGGAATAGAATCTACAGAGATTCATCAAGGGTCTGGGCCAGTATGTGCCGGCAAAAGTCTCCCGCCAACATCCAAGGCAGCATCTTCTGAATGCGAGCTGGTATTTCGAAGCTGCCGACTACTTGTGGAAGGCCGACGTTTGCCATCACAAGGTACTTGTATGTCGGCACTGCACAGCCGTGGGCAGGGGGACAGCAACCACGAGCACTGCAGCACAGGTTCAGGCCATTCGACGGGGTTCTGCTTGGAGGTGCAACAGGCCAGCAAGGACAATGGTTCAAGCACCTGAATGGAGCCGTTTCACGACGTTGCAGCAACAGCAGGGAGTTGACGAAGAACACAACTGTCCAAACTGCTCCCCGTGGGGATCGCATGCCGAACAGACTCAACATAATTGCGGTTCTGCAAAGACCAACATGATCAAAGTGCACATCTGATTCCGTTGCTGCTGCTGCTTCTGCGCATGCCGCGCAGTCTGTGCAGGAGCAGGAGGTTGCAGAATGTTGCAGAATTCGGAACGCAGACATCGGAGGTGGTTGCAATATTGCAATTTGATGTCTTGTTTGATGAAGGAAGGTGTCTTCTGCAGCTCTGCAGGGGCAAGGATGCTGTCCAGCTGGTTGTGTATATTCTCCGCTTCTCCCGAAGCGCTACTGGTTCCGTTTGCAGGTCCTGGTCGAGGCTGGGGAGGTGCCGAATGCTGGAGACCTGAAGGAGCCGATTCGAGTCTTCGAGTTTAAAAGCGATCTGCACGGCTGGCATGAGTTATGTCTGCCTTCACGTTGGGCACTATCCCTGCTCAGTGCTGAAGCCTTCGCACCTGCCGTCAACGAGGAGGGTTCCAAGGAGTTGCGCGACGAGAAGTGCGTGCGTCTCTGTGAGGCCGCTAGGCTGCCTTCGAGAGGTTTCGGGCTCGTTCCACAGGCTTAGAACGCCCAACAGCTGCAGGTCCGGCAGTTGCCTGTGCAGGAAGGGTGGAGTGAGTGTGTCCGGTTGGATTGCCTCCCGAGCAATGCACTCAGATTCCCAGGCTTCGACCGCTGCTCCTAGGGTCCTAGTGTACCGAGGTGGTCGATGTGGTTGCTGCTGCCGTCGGTATCCGTGCATACCATCGAGGAATGGGCGAACCAGGCGATGTGAAGTTTGCCTGCCTCGAGTTTCAATTGATCTACGAACCCTTCTGCCATCTGATTGTTGCTCCACCTTGTTTTTGACAGGCATTCAGCGTAGCCTTGGGTGTCACACAGACGCGCACAGGTCCAGAGTTGCCATCCATGCCTGAGAAGGAGAGCGCAGCTGTTTTTGCATGTGGCCAGCATCATTCGTGTCATGTGGTTCCTGAAGCCTTCAGGTACGCATGCCTGTTTGCTGGAAGTTGATCCTTGTGGGACGAGGTAACATGTATGCGCCTCTATGGTAGGTCCGACATGGCTTAAAACAGGCTTGGCATGGTTCGAGACAGTTTTGCCAAAACTGGAAGAAAAATGCAGCTTGCCACATGCTGTGCGGGCGTGTTTTTCTGTCGCAGTTGAGCGACACCCTACTGAGTCCCTCCTGTAGTTCCTATGAAGTATAAGCGATCTTCTTTCCAAATGTCACTTGGAAGATCCATGAGATGTGTCGTCATGATTTCATCTATGGCTTTTCGGGCACCCTGGTAGACTTGCTCTCGATGCTTGGTGCCGCACTTAGCTTCAAAACCCCATCAGGCTGTCCAGACATGCTTTCGACGAGGGTAGACTTGGCCCATCCTGGCTGACCCGCGTCTCTGATCCTGCATGATCCGTCTTTGGAATCGCTGTGCTGAATGGAGCCTCACTCCCAAGATCGCAGGACGAGATGCCCTACTTTGAACGAGTCACGGATATCTGCTCCTCCGGCCTTTCCTTTGACAGTAGCGGCTGGGGTCCGCGACTGGAGGACCGAGCGAACGAAACGCTTCCTTGTTTGTCGTACCCTTGGTGTAACGGGATTGCCTGTGCAGGACAAGGACATCAAGGTCGACGTCTACGAGAAGATGGGCTTCTTGACAGTTACCTCCAGCCTTTGTTTGCGTCGGAAACCGGCTGCTTTGAGGTCTGGTCAAGTCCGCGTCCGTGAAGAGCATCACGAGTGCTTACGCTCCGGGCAGCAAGTGGGAGCCTGCAGTGACCACATCATATGCTCCTCGCCGCAGATAGGAGTATCAGTGGACGGTGAGGTCTGTAACTTAAGTAGGCTTGTGCAGCCGGAGGAGTCCCATGAAAGCGTGTGTTTTCCAGGAGATCTGTCATTCCAGAGGTTAGATAAAACTCTGCCCTAGTTCAACTGTTCCCTCAAGATTCTGGACTTACATTGAACCTTCCCAAGGATTGTTTTCAAAACTTGTTGCGCAGGTTAAACGAACAGTTCAACTAACACTTAAGCTCAAACCTGATTCAAGTGCTAACTTGGTGGCTGTATTCTACCTTATCTGTGATAGACTTCTACCAAAAGGCGGCTAGTATCAACTTGTACCAGAATTCTAGTAGAATCTTGTTCGAACACTATTCTGAGTCCTGTTGGAAGTCTCTTCCCTTAACCACCAGTAAACGGTGATGCATAATGTCACTATTTGGTGTTGGTGTGGCATTCTAAGAAGCTAACTCGATTGTGATCCCCTTAACGAAGCTTTTCGTGACGGTTGTTCCTTTCTCTTCCGGGCTTTGCAATCTGCCTTTGTAGTGAGATGGGAACTTGTTAGTGAAAGCGCAGGACAATACTGGACGGTCACCGTGCGTAACGCGTTAACAAACAAGCATTGGTTGGGCTTCGCCTACATCCCGATTTGATTGTTTCCTGTCTTGGGCATGTCAACTCTTGGATTCATTGCCTTCATTTCTGTGGTAATACACCACCCTTGCGCCATGCCGGAAGTTGTCCCCCGCGAGGACTGGTTCACATGGTCGCAGACTGCTTATCCGCCGAACGTGGACTTCTTCCGCCTGCTGGGCAGTTTCGAGAAAGAAGGCTGACAGATGTCAAAGCAGTGCACTCGTCGTAGCTGTTGACCATGGGAGGCGCATCGATCAGCAGAGCAGACATGGAGAGCTGCTTGGCCTAGAGACCCCTGCAGTTGCTTTCAGTTCTGTGCTCTGGGTCGCGAGTTCGATCAATGCATCACCGACCTGCTGAGAGCTTGGCCTTGAAGCAGTATAAGATATTGAGAGAAGAGTAACCTCTTGAAGGATTTGCGATCGTCGTTGAGGGGTACAAGATATCGGTAGGAGTGGGCCACTTTGAGAGGGGTGAAAAGGCCCTTTGAACGCATGCTGCAATTTACCTTTGTTCCAACAACACATGAAGCTATGACACCACTGTGCAGAATGCTTGCACTCAGTCCTCTTGTTCTGATACATCCTGCCTGTCCGGAACAGAACCGGCAAAGAAATATAAGTACACATCCTAGCCAAACGCATTTCTTTTTGCTCAGGCTGGCTGTCAGTTTCGGGTCTTAGTTTCAGGTGACCTGTCGGGGGCTTCAAGGGCCTTGCAAGCCTCATGTTACAGCGGCTTTAGGTTTTGACTTTCGCGTGCAGGGTTCAGGGACTGCAGCTTCCGTTTCGAGCATGAAGACGCGGACAAAGATACTTGCTGCGAGAGGTGGATAGCGACTGACAGAGGGCGAAAGAATGCTTTCGAGAAGCCTAAAGACACAACATCACAGCGCAATCCACCTTATGGTTCTGCTGCACTCCACAACCTGAACAATGATGGGTCAGGTATTGCATCTGCCTACACGGCCGCCGTCAAATGCGCCTACTGATTTGACTGGCATGCGTCGCTGAGAGACCCTTGCCACACAAAGACTATGTTGCGGTCTCGAACGAAATTCAACATGGCAGGGAGTTTCGGGCAGCAGGCAATGTGTGCATAACTGTCGCTTAAGTCCTGTTCCCGACCTCGATCGCTTTTGCTTTGCTTGCAGATGGCTTTAGAACCCTCGCAAGCCCATGATTGGCTTCGATTGTGGTACCTAAGGATTTTATCCTGACCTTTGGAGGCCATAGGGTCGACAGACACAGTCAAGTCAGTAACGGGAACTTAGCCTTCTAGATGCTAAGAAACGTTTCTGAGTGGCCTCTCAAGGTGACGGCACGTCAAAACTTGACTGTTGCAGGCGAACTCCACAAGGAGATTGGCCTTATGGTGGCGCTGGGACGAGCTTTGGGCAACGAACGCTTGCCGGCAGAGCCAGGCTTGGCAAACGGCAAAACCCTTTGTACGGTTGCACTACGCATTGTTTGAGTCTTTGCCCGAGAACAGTGCAGTGCAGGCAAGCCTTCACCACGCGAGGAAGTCGACCGTTGCGCGGCAGAGCTCAAGGCCAAATGATCTTGGAAGTACCCAGAAGTGTATCCAGTCATCCCTCAGTCGTACACGCGAATCGACAGATGAGGGCGCCACCAGACGAGAAGGTCAAGAACGCATGAATGAACGTAACGGACACTTGTAGCAAGTGTCCAACCCATGCAGATGGCTGTTGGTGACGACGTCGCAGCCAACGCCGCAGCAGTCGCGGCGATGTTTGCCGCGATCACTATCCCAGCACCTCAGCGAACAATACGCAAGTTGGCGCTTTTCACTCGGCATTGCAATCTGTTTTCGCGTTTCAGATCTTGTTCAGAGGGTTTGGGAGCTCGGGGCCGTTCAGCTGCTTTGCTGATCGTGGTTGGGGTCTCTTGCAAGGTGGATGCGAGCGGCCACAGCAGCCCGGAGTTGGCTCGCTTGCAGCCGGTCAGGGCCTCAACTGGAGCCTTCAAGCTCTCCCCTCTACTACGACCCGAGGTCCTAGGAGTTGATCAGGAGCTATTGTGTCGGACTGCCTACACCGACGTTGTCTCGATTTTTGAAACGTTCCAACACTTTGGCTTTGGAGGTGATGAACCGGATTGTGCGCTGGGCCAACTACACCAAGGCTTGCAGCGAAAGGGTTCGACAAGGATTGAAGGAGCATAATCAAATCCAAAGCTTCCTGTTGATGAATGATCAATGATGTTCTAACCACCAGTAGGAGAGCGTCACGGTTCTCCGTGACTCCAACTGTTGCACGTGGAAGGCCACGCTCCGGCCGCTGCGGTGTTGCGCGAGGCGTGCCGCAGCGTAGCTTGGGGCATGCCCCGGGCTTGGAAGGTTCGGGAACACTGGGAATTTCAAGAAACGGATGCCAGACCCGTGCCTCGAATACTCCTCAGTTGTGTGCAACACGCGACGGGAGTTCACATTTTTGCCACTCGCACCTTTCGGGCAACTCTCCCACAACCTCGGAACGAATTGAGAGCTTGACTGGGGGTCCTCTGCGAGCAAGTGACTGGAGCTCTCCGGTGCTGGAAGGGACGGGGAGGTTAAACTAGCCATTCCTGCAGTGCCCTGTGAGAACCAGGAGAGCTCGCTTTGGGCTGCCTAGTTGAGAGACCTTGAAGTGTGGTTCTAGAGGAGGCAGAGATCAGTCTAAGCATGTGTTTTTTGTTTTTTTTCGTTGTGGAGTTGTGCACTTGGCCTTGCCTTATGCAGTGAGTGGAGATTTTGTAGGAGGTGTCCAGCCAATCTGGAAACCAATTGGTGTGCATCTCTGTCGGAGCCAGCCCTGTTGAGGCAGACAGAAGGTGTGTTCTTCCACTCTTACCTTGATCAGTCGCCCAAAGGACTTCAACTTGAGCATCCCTGTCCCAGACGACAGAAGCACCCGCTGTAGCTGTGGGTGTCCTCCCTTCGCTTAGATTTTGAGTCCGAGCGCAGTTGTCAAGCTTCGTCTGATCCACCCTTCCAATCTTGGATTCTTGGCTCATCTTTCTGCTGCTGCCTTGTACTTGGCTCCAATCAGCAGCTTCTACGGAAGTTCTGTGTGGATTTGACCGTCTGGATTTGACTTGAAGTCAAGCTCTCGTCGGCGGTGGTCTTTCGCTGGTTGGGGACCTACCCACCAGCCTGCACCGCTTATTGACTTAGCGGAGAAAAAGCACGCTTGCAGCACCGGACCTCATGCGGGCAAGCGAGCCGAGCCATCTCAGCCGAGGGGTGCCTCCACCTTCATCCATAGAGCCTGCAGCTAAACGACCACGTGCGGAGATTAGCAGAAGTCGGGATTAGGTTGTTCTGCTTGAAAGGCCCGCTGCAGTGCTTGTCGGGAGCCCGGGACAGGAGCCGGGGGTCGATAGCAGACTCTTGCGAACTTGGGTAGATCGCTTCTTGAGTGGCTTTCATATACAGGCGCATTCAAGAGTCATTTTGGCGGCCTCTTCTTGGCTGGCTGTTTCCTTTTTTTTGTTGAGGTCGCGGGTGCATTGGCTTCGAGATCATGGAGCAAGGAAACGGCGGATACAGGCAGGGTCGCGGACTTTCGATGAAAGAGGAATGCTTCTTGATGCTGAGATTGCTTCTGTTGACATCCTTCCCTGTTTTTGCGCAAGCAGCAGGTGCTGGATGAGGTCTGCGTGGGAACATGACACGGACTACCAGTCCAGCAGCTTGGGCAACTTAATTAGGGCTCCGTGAGCACTGCCTCGGCGTAATGATGCAACGGGCGGCTGAGAGTCTGCTTTCCTTGTTTTAAACTTGGCAATCGTGGAGCTGGTGTGACTGCAATGAAAGGGCAGCCATCTGGACCATGAGCCTGAGCTTGTGCCAGGCAATCCGGACAACTCCTCGTGGCATCCCTACGTCAACGAAAGAGATGACCTTTGCAACCAGGAAGTTAATGAAGCTGTCTGCTCAACATGTTGCTCTAACAGACCCCTCTTTCTTACAATTCAGTTTCAATTCCGAGTACTTCCAGTTGTTGTGGGCGGAGATCAGATGAAGGTGTTGCTTCGGACTGGAATTGATCTGGCCTGAGTTTGGGTGCATTTCTCAAGCCATAATCACAATCCACATATTGTGCTCTGCGGTTCTGTTGGGGACGCTCCCGGCCCCGCCGCTTCTGGCAAACGCCTACAGGGCGAGCAGTGGTTTCCGTTTAAATGTCACGCTCGAGATTCTAGTCGCCATTTGAAGCCTTTAAGCTGCTTTAAGCAGGATCCGAGCCTGCAGCAGTTGCGCGGCCAAGTTCTCAAACACGCTCCTTGACTGGACTCTCTTCATGGACGTTGGGTGGGTTTGGGTCGCGGGTTGGGTCGGGTTGGCCGGGCCTTGGACTGGAAAAAGGGTTGTTTGACGCGCAGGAGCGGGAGCATCGTCTGCACTTAACGGAACAGTTGCGCCACTGCTCAGGTGGAGGGTATGCCCGGACAGAAGGAGGAGGGCGAGGGTTTGTGCGCTTGGTGTCTTACAGACTCACAGGGGGAACTCTCCAAGCCTCTTGGTCTTTCAACCTCTTGTGATGCTTCGTAGCCACCAGCAAACATGCATCCGTTCCTCAAATCATTTGCCGAGCCTGGCTCTTTCAGGAGGGAGATGAGCGAGCTTCAACATGCTTGCGGTGCGCTCGGGGAGGGCGGAATGGAAGAGGTGGCAAGGTGCTGTGGTCGATCACCTGCAGAGTGTCAGAGCGAGTGGAGTCCAGGCAAAGTCTCAACACATGTTGAGACTCCAAATCCTCAGGCGGCACGCATCCATGGCCTACAAACACTGCGCCTTCCATTCGAGAGACTTTCCGCATGTACAGCATCCTCGGACGCTGTAGAGCTTGCTCTCAGACATGAAATACCTCACCTTGCCCTTAAGTTCAACTGCTTTCACTGAGCCGGCCACGTTCGATGCCAGGTCCCAGATTGACCTTGAGACGCTTCCACGCGGGGCGTGAGCCCGGCTTCATTGAAACAAAGCTCTGAGAAGTTCATTGAATAATGGGCCGGGTTACAGCTCGCGACGAAGCACAAGGTGTTGTGAGCTCCAGTCTTGCGCAGGTACACGCTCTACGCAGAAGTAAAGCCCGTGTCTTATCCCGACATGCAGACCGGTTCCGACTGGAGACTTTTTTGTTCTGAAGCCAACTTCTCCCGAGGCTTCAAGATGCAGCCGGCGGTCAAGTTATCACCTGGGGCGTGACTTGACTGAGAGTTGTCATTCTAGGCAAGGCCATCAGTGTTGAAGAAGGAAGAAGACTCATGAAAAGGTCTGGACGTTTTCGAAGTTGCGGCTCCGAATTGCCGTCATCTCACCACTGAGGCAAACGGAGACGAGGCGTGGCTCTTTAGGGTGCGTGCCCTGAGGGCACAGCTCTTGCTGGACGTGGCGGAAGTAAGTGCTTCCCTGCACCAGAGCTGACTTTGCCTTTGCATTCGGGCAGCGACAGCATGCATGAAACCAAGCCCGCACTAAGAAGATGCCATGGATCTGAAGATCAAAGCCTCGAGCCTTTGAGCTCTAGACCCTCGAAGCCTGAACTCCGGCAGGGCCGTGCTGCCTCGCCTTGCCTGAAGGTGCGCTGTGTTATGAAGACTCTGCGACTAGACGAGACAGATGGATTTTCTAGCTTCTTCGGCATCCTCGCATCTTGCCAGCGGGACGATGGAAGGAGACCGTCTTGAACATCGTGGTTAACTTGAGACTCGAGATGTACCGTCCAGCATCTGTGCTTGCTTGCTAGAATGCCTTGGCAAACTCTGCGAGAAATCCATGCCTGGTGCCACCTCCAGGTATTCAGCTCTCGAAGCCAAGCCTAGAAGAAAGGTCCCGAGAGTACCACGACACACGTATATGTGGCAGGCCCGCTATTGGGGCCTGGCTGCCGTTGAGGCTTCTGCGAATGGCTACTATGAGCCGGGCCCTCCGGATTTCTTTAGTGTCCTGCCAGATAACACACTGAAGCCCTCCAATGAGGCCATTCTATTTGGACTTCTTCGAATCAGCGGATGGCACCGGTGAGTCGTTGCCAGCTGATGAGGTGCAGGGTTGACACCTGCGGTTGCCAAACAGACTGTCTCCGAAGACCTGTGTTATAGTCAGGGTTTGTTGCAGATATGATGTTTTCAAGCTCGCATGAAATTGACACCTGGACCCAAGTAAGCGACGCAAGATGCAAGACTGCCAATCATTGAAGATCTGCCATTCCGCATCTTTGTTTTGCCAGGTTTACATCCAAGGCCTCGTCAGCCCTGGTGTGCAGATAACACAAAGCAATCGAGGGCGACATTTTCTTCAGTACAAGCCCAACCAGCTGCGGCCCAAGCTGAATGAGATGCAAGCCACAGAAGGAGCTCTCTCTTCGGCCCTTGCTGCTGTCTCTGTCTTGCAAGAACTCATGTCATAGCAGCTTCTGTTGGACTGGCAAGGCAGAACTGGGGTGTGTCATGGACGGAGCATCAAGTTCCATTGATCTACCGTGACCTGGGAAGCGCAAAGGCCAGCAAGTGTTTTGATCACGTGTGCTTCTTTGTGCTTGACATGTATGTTGCTACTAGAACACGAACAGAACAATAGAGAAGTTGTGTTCGAGTTCTACAATGCATGTTGGTCCTGATGATGACTGGATTTCCGGCCGCATCGACAGGTAAACTCTGAAAATAGGGATATTCCAGTGAGAAGTGGAGCTCTTGAAACGTCGCGCTGGGGCTGAACTGTCACGGTGGTGCGGTGATGCATGCACAGGGGTCTGGCGAGACTGCAACAGCTACAGAGAGTGTCATCGGTTCATGTTGCTGTGTCGTTCAGGAGTTGACTACATGCTGCAACCTTTGCACAGGTCATCCGCTCTGCGCGACACGCAGCGCGTCCAAACCACGTTCCACAGGAGACCGGCAGTTCAGGAACTGAACTTCGGATATTCTGCTCGGCGGTGTGAGCCTTCTCATGTCCGGTTAAAAGATAGCTGTTCGGATGTTGTTGGTTGGCAAATCTCTGTTGACGAGCCGTCGCATTCTTGTGCATGCCATTTCCGCGTGTGCAGGAGGCTGTAATCGTTGCCAGCAACGATGGCATCGTTTGGTATGCCAGGCCACATCCTTCGGCAAAACCGCCAGCGTGCAGACTGTGGTGCTGCGTGGTTCAGGTTCCGTGCAACTGGCGATTCAGCCCGCGAGCTGATAAACCAACCGGTGCAGTGTAAGGCACGGAGGGGCATCTCCGTACGGAAGACCATGTGAGGGACATGCTTGGTTCAGGACCCTCTGTTCGTCCCCGAGCCCGAGGAGGGTTCCGAAGACGAGGCCATGGCATCTAAACTCCAATAGATGCATCTTGCAAGGGTTGCTGGGTGCAGCAGTAGCCGCAGAGAGTGCGCAGATGCAGATGAATTCCCGAAATTCCCGATACACCAAACACCACTCCTCCTCACTTCAAGTCTGACCTGTGCGTGTTAGCTAGTCAGGTAGTCGAGGCCGGAGTAACCGGAAGGGCCTGCGAAGTGAGAACCGGCGGAACCAGACCAGTCTGCCTCTGCCAGGTTTTGCCCATGCGAAAGCACATGTTGGTGGTCGGTGGAGATTCGGTGCTGCTCGGCAGCACGCGATGCAACACATGTCGAAGGGATGCCCTGGAAAAGCATCGCACAGGAAAGGGTTTGTGTCTGTGTCCGTGGCTTCTTGCTGAAATTGGCCCAGCTTTTCACCATAGACTTGGAAAACCGAGGAAGAGCTTTTGGGGCAGGAACCCATTTGAGGCTAAGCTCAACAAGTCTTTGGTCGACGAGAAGTGGTGCAAGCCTCGGTCTGTCAAAGCATCCAGGCGCGCAGTGCCTAGGTAAAGGAGCTGCAGGTCTCGCACCTGCTTGACTGTTCTACAATCTCTGATGAGGCACAGCATCATGTCAACGTTTGATGGAGTCACCCAAAAGCTGTGGGCAACTTCGGCAGCATTGTGGGGTCTTGCGTCTTCTCGAAAAGGATGAGTGAAAGGCATGCCGAACCGATGGTGCAGTTTTTGGTGGTGACTCCGTCTCGGATGTGTTGGAGGTCTGAATGGAGGGATTAGGTTTTTCGAGTTGCGGGGTTGAGGATTTTAAGGTTTCGGGTCGGACGAATGTAAGCGATCCCAGATGCACAGGTCATGGGATCTTATCTTAGACTGCTTTTGGTCGCTCGTTTTCCGTCCGTGCTAGCATCCGGAGAGAGGAGCCGATGACAAGGGCCGACCCCTTTCGCCAAAGCCGTTTCATCTCCCCGGACCCAACAACTCCGAGCTGATATCTGCTTGCTGTCAAGGCAGACTGCAAGGGCGCAGACAGGAATCAACTCGGCAACTGAATGATGGTGGTGCATGCTTCGTTTGCACCTACAGGGTCAATCGTCCGAAGCTCCGTGACGCGTGGATGTGTGGATGCCGCTAGGAAGGCTCCGACATGAAGAGCAATTAGCCGCGCTGTCCCGGATGTCCACAGAGCCGAGGTCGACCATGCTCTGCTTGCAATCAAGCAGGCCAAAAACTTCCTGAGTGCCTCGGCATCGCGTACGAGCTTGAAGCGTCTCAGTCGCCTGCTGACCGCAGACCCAGGTGTTCTTCAGACCTCCAACTTCTGTGTTCTGAGCTCAGACAAGACCTGAATGGAAGCAGATAAAGACAGATGGTCAGCCGAATTTCATTTTTTTGCCGCGCTTCTTCTCAAACGATTGCTGTAGGGCTGTAGACTCTGTAGACCAAGGTTGGCTCTCGTGAAGATGGTGAAAAGGCGTTCCCTGGAGAGCTCCGGAACGTGCAGCGCCTCGTCTTGAGAGTACGGGCTCAGCAGTTAAGTACGGCATAGATTTTAGCGGAAGGGCAGTGCGGGTCCCAGATGCTGAACTCTTTGTGTGCTTGCTTCTGGTGAGCTTGTAGTTATGCCAAAAGGGAGGGCAGGTACTTGCCTCGCACATGATCTACACCCAAACTGCCAAGTCGTGACAGCATGAGAATGGGAGGGGTCTAACGGCTGTTCGCCTCGGAAGCGGTAAGGATCTTCTCGGAGGCCAAGATGCCAGGCTCCATTCAGGCAAGCAGGGGGCCAGTTCCGGTGGCGACTTTTATTCATTTATGGGCAATTGTCGCGCTGACCACGCTGTAATGGGACTCGGCCAGGCCGACATGAATCTGGCGGTCGTAGGAACGGCCAGCATGAGTGCGGAGCTTGGCTAATGGCTTACCTTCGCATCGCTCCACTGCTGCCGCCGCCGCGACATCACTAGCATCACCGGCATCACCAGCATCAGAGTTGTCATCAGTACGGGTAATATCATGATCTTCATCCTCATCTTCATCCTCCTCCTCGCACCATGATCTTCATCAGCATGTCCTTGTTCGGGTAATTGTTTGTCTGTCGTCGGTGTCGAATGTCTGGCGAGGCTCTTCGCTGAATGTTGGAACCGAAGGCCACCGAAGGGAGGGGATGGTGTGCCGAGCATGTTTCAAAAATTTCTGGTCGGTCCCTGCAGTTGCACCCTGCGGTGCAAATCAAACATGCATTTGAAGACTGGCTTGTTGCAAGGGCCTGCGAGGGGACCATACAGTGAAGCACCAGAGACCCGAAGCATCACCAACTCTTGGCGCAGTCGGCGTAGTCTCGGCAAGGCGCCCTCAACGATGGCTCCTTGGGCTCACGCGCGATCTCTGTCCGCGGACCCAGCATACCACACATGTCAATCCAGGAGCACCGTGAGGGCCAAGGCTGTGCCTCACAGTTAGTCGTAGTTGGCTCATTGCCTTTCAACACTCAGAGTTGGTCCGGATCAAAGCCTCCAGCTCTTTGACAGTCTTGTCCGGCCGGCTGTTAGGTGTCCTTGTGCTTTGCACGTCTTGTGGCCTGAGGTGGACGAGAAGAGTCCCTGGGCACAGGTGGACCTCGGCAGTGGCTTAGCTGGCATGGTCAGCGGACCCGCCTGCCAGACTGCAAGCTAATTGGAACGTGATTCGACGGGTCCGCTTGCAGCTTAGGTCCCATGCCTGTTGGAAGGATCCAGATCGAGCATCTTCGCCTTGCACTGGACCGTTTGCTACTGTTCTCCAACGTCCTCTCCTCCATGAGAAAGGTTTGATGCACCTTACTTCTCTGCTTCTAAGGAATGCAGACGCCGACCAGTGCGCTTCCAGGCTCTTCCTCGGAACCGAATGCAGCCCCTGGCTCAGAGCTGGAGACCAGGGTTGAGGCATATGTCGATGTAAGGAAAAGGCAGAGACAGCTGTGAGATTTCAAGCGAAGCACCCGAATCAATTTGTGTGCACCGGGAACATGCGTGATTCGCAGCTGCCAGCTGAGGTTGGGACTATGACATTGGCCCCTCGGCTCTTCATTTCGTCTTTCGGAACGTGCTGCGATGTGTCCGAAGTTGCGCATTGAAGCTACGACTGGGCAACCATGATAGATTGACTGGCTCAGGCAACTACTCCGCTGCAGATCAAGGGGCGAACATTGGAATCAGCATGACGCCGTGTGAAGGCAGCTACTTGCGTTTGAGCCCTGTTCAGACTGGGGAATTCGTTCACCTTGGTGATACTGCTTCTGCATTGCCCAATGAGGAGGACATGGGCAGTTCATCACACCACCCTGCAGATCTGATCAGGTGACATTTGCCGCGGGGTCATCTGCACACGGATTACCGGCAGCAACCAAAATGGCACCGGACAAACCTATGCTGGAGATTGCCAGGCTGGCTGTCGTCTTTCATTGCAGTGGCCTGCATCATCGATAGAATTCGAGAATCTTCCTGAGATCAAAGCTCCGGCTTCGTGCCCGTCCGTGCAGCCTGCAGCGCAAATGCTTTCAGTGCAGCAGGGGCGCTATGGCCGCTACGTCTATGTGCAGCTTCCTGGGGCAAGTCGCACTCTCGACGTGCGGGAGCTCCGGGTCTTCAAGGCAGCCGACAAGCAGAGAGAACGACGTGTTCATTTTTGCAGGGTGGCAGACTTTGCCTTGTGTCTTGCACTGAGCACAGAGTACTTGGCTTACCGGGTCTGATTTGTTGAGATGAGCTTTGTTTCTCTTCGCGACTTGTAAGTCGCAGGCTAGCAGTGCGGCCACCGTCGGCGAGACGCTTGCGATGAATTCATGAAGATGCAAGTATATGCACAGCACATCGCTGAGCCTGCGCAAGCTCAGGACCGTTCTCTGTGCGGACCGCAGTACATCCTGCGCTGGAGATGTTTGCTGTCCAGGTCGGCAAACTGACGGGACACTTTGCGTTTACAGCATCAAGAGAACGAGCAGTTGGAGTTCAAGTTGCACCTTTATTGTCGCAGGAGTTCTTTTGAAATTAAAGTCTCGCCCGTGCAGGGCCGCAGTACGGTACAGGGTTCGATTAGATCCTGGTGCAGATGTGTGAAGAAGGGCAGGAGACAAAGAATAGAACACTGCTGCAGTATGTATACATATTATATATATATATATGGTCACACACCCCCTGATCCACCCCAGCCTTCTAGCTATCTGTTCGTCCACAGTCTTATGTCTCCAAATGCTTTCTCCGGGGTCCAGAAACCATAGGTATTTACAGTGGTTTCTGCACTTCACACATACTGACCTCTAATTATTGAGCTTGTTGGTGGTATGCGTAAACCATCCACAATCCAAACCAGAATCTGGTTCTGCGTCCGTGCTAATCGGAAGCAACGCTTGAGCTTTGCTCAACTAACAATGACACGCGAAACCTCGGTGTCATTTATAGGAATCCTCTTTTCATCGCAAAAAAGCACAAGTAGGCTCCTGAGTCCCTTACCAGTGGCGAGAACTCAACGAGCTCTCACAATCTGGCAACATCACAATTTCAGATATTGATGTTTCGGAAAAGAACTACCCTCTCTCCACCATACCCCAAATACATTCGATCAGAAGTAAAGTAAAGTGTGTCGAGCTTCTTACGCTTCGTAGCACGAATGGAGCAGCTACTCGCTTCTTTATGTCATGTGGAATGAAACACTTCCGGTCACAATTAGAACAAGTCAGAGTTTCCTGTGCTAGCAGCAAGAACAAAATCGAAGACACAGTAAAGGTCAACTTTTCTTTTCCCGATAAGGAATATGGCAAAACGCCGGTATACCATTCTATGCTTCGTGGGAGTTAGGACGAAATATAGCGTTCGTTGCTCCCTCTTAAGCAAGAAGCAAAAGACCACTTGGTTCATGAAAAAGCAAACCAGACTCATTTGCGCCATACTAGCAGCAATAAACCAAAAGAGCTGCTAGCTGCTACATCGTTCAACAGGACATGAAATGGCTCCTGTTTTCTCGCCTCCGCCTCCTCCCATCTTCATCGAAAAAACGGAATTTGTTCTGTCTCTCCGTATTCACAAGACAGAGAAGAGCCGAGGTTTTTAAAACCATCAACAGAAATAAAAAAGCTCCTTCAGTTGATACTCCACAATATAATAGAAAGTATACAATGTGAGAGCTCCTTTATCTATGAGCGAGGTACTATAGATTTAGAAAGGACTGTTTTAATGCAGAATCGAAAGCCTCGAATAATTGTAGAACTCAGCCAAATCTATACAGCAAGAACAACTACTAAACACAATAATACCGCTACTGGTACTGCCGCATTTACAATTGCAACAAGAACAACAGGAAATAAGGACAACATGTATTCCACCGCTAGCACTGCTACTAATAATAGCAATAATGCCAATACAGATAATATCATAGTTAAAAAACAGAAATACTAAGAATAGTAATAAAGCAATAATAACAACAATAACACAATAACAATCAAATCTTGGCATGTATGAGGAATGCGGAGACAAGGAATTTTAGTGACATTTACAAGCCCTGTCGATGTTTTGGCATCTCGAATTTCCCCAAAATTTCTAAAGCCTGAAATGCGAAATCGTTGGCAGGGATCAAACTTCCCCAAAATTCCCAAAATCCTGGCATGTATGGGGAGCGCGGGGGCAAGGAATTTTCACCATGCAAGCGGTAGCGACAACTGCGACATGCAGGCAGGGATTCAATAAGTTACACTGTCCCAAGAGTCTTGTTGCCCGTTGATCTACTTATTACTGCGGGGAGCTGGTCATAGCCCCCCTTGCGGTGCGGAAGTCTCACCAGGATTTTGGGGACATTTGATCCCTGCCGATGTTTTCGCACCCGAGGTTGCTAAAGTGCTGCCAGGCTCGAATTTCACCAAAATGCCCGAAACTTGAAATGCGAAAACATTGGCAGGGATCAACTTTCCCCAAAATTCCTCAAGTCCTGGCATCTATGAGGAATGCTGGGCCGTAGTTGCTCAGATTTTGGGAATTGTGGGGAAATTTGATCCCTGCTGGTGTTTTCGCATTTCAGGCTTCAGGAATTTTGGGGAAATTTGATCCCTGCCGATGCTTTCGCATCCGAAGCTGCCCACGTCCCATGATCCACTGATTGCATAAGGCAGGGTGGATCATGGGGGGGGGGGGCATGAGCATATATATATATATATATATGTATGTATGTATATATATATATATTTATGTACATTCGTGGTAGTATATGTATATATGTGTGTTTATTTATACATATATATATACACACACATACATACATGTGTGTATATATGCATATATGATGCGTGGTAGGGGTTTGTAGGTAAGTAAGCAAGTGAGTAATCGAGTAAGACAGAGAGACGGATGTAATCAGGACGTGATTGAGTAAGCTGCATAGCTGAGTAAATACTAAGCGTATAAGCGTGTATGGAAGTCACTAGGTGAGTACGAAATAGTGTGCAGGTGGGTGAGTGAGTGAGTGAGCTGTGGGTATGTACGCTCTGTATGTACTATATGCTTCGAACGTAGTGTAGTGCAATGCAACGTAAGGTACTGTCATGCAGTGTATAGTGAGCGGGTTCAGAAATATAAAGTTGGGGCATGGTACGGTGCGGTGCGGCATGGAATGGAATGGAGTTGATTGGAATGGAGTGTAATTCGTAATTGGTGTGCCGCATTCTTGTGCAGTGTCGTGTAGTGTAGCGTAAGGCCTCCGGCCGTGTCGACGGCAGCCCTGGACATGACACGAGATTCTGTGAGCCGCAGGCTTTGAGGCTACGGGCTTCAAGACTTACCCTTGCCCTTCGGCCCACGACACCTTCATGAAGTGCCCTGCCTGGATGTTCCTTCTAAGGTTGTGCAAGTGCTTAGACTCAGAGGGCCCGTGCCACGGTCACAGCTAGAGCCTACGAGACGGTGTCGGGATCGAAGAGGCTTTTCATTTTTTCGCGTCCTCACCTCTTGCAGCCGTACTTTGTAGAGCACATTTGGCAGCCTGATGTGTAAGGTGCCAGATCAAGACGAAGGTTGCCAATGCATTGGCCAACGTGCGCCTCCTTGGCCAGCTAGCTGCCTTGTTGCAGGGTGACTTGAGCCTCTGGCTTCCGCTTCAGGGTCCTGCAACCGCCATGACCATGTCAGCCAAAATAATTATGCTGGGGCCAGGTGTCCCGTCAAGATTCTGATGATCAGCTTGAGGAGACGATCCGAGTCCTTGCATCTTTTTACGGCTTTGTTCCAGACGGGGAAGTCGTGTATTTTGAATAGAGTCCGGAAGTCCGGAAGCCCTTAAGGCGGCAATTCTCCTGCAAAGCGACATCGTGGCAAAAGAGAGAGCTGTCAATGGGCAGCCCTTCGCGCATTGAAGGAGAACCTCACCCTGAACGCCACGGTTGCTGCTGCACCGGAGGGCAGCTCGACCCTCAGAGTGCAGTTTGTGGCCTCGGCGCGTTGCTGGAATTCCTGCTCCCCTCAGGGCGCATCTTCGTGCCCATGGATGGTGGTGTCGGCCGCGCCTGTCGTGGGGCACACCGGGAAGACTGGCGAGGCTTGGGCCTTGAAGCCTTCGCCGCTCCGCCCGTGTCACCCTGGCCTTGCTTCGCCGAGGCTCCTACGTGGTAAAGCATCGAGGCCGAAGCCTGGAAATGTGCAAGCTCATCTGCAGGAGCTTCGGTGTGGAAGGCTTTACAGGGACGTCTTACTTGCAACGGGCGAAGTGCATCGTGACATCGGCCGAAAACCACACTTTGTGTCTTCGTCGAGGTTGAGAGCATCTGCCAGGAGCCATCCCCTCTGCCAAGGCATTGAGTACAACGATGCCGCTCAGCAGACTGATTGGGTATGCAGGGCTCGCTGACTACGACCTTCCTGATCATCCAAGTCTATGTGCAAAATGCGCTCCGAGGATTGTGAGATGTGGGTCCGCGCAGAGGGAATCGGTGCCCGATGTGGCATTTGAGCGTCGAAGATGCGCGCGTTGAGCTGTGTGAGACGAACTGAGGTTCTTCGGTGGCCTACGAGGGCCCAGCTCGCTTCTCCACCTGCCTGCGCTTGCTCCCGCAGGCCCGGCCTTATCCCCAAGCACGCTTTTCAGGGGCTGCGCCCCGGGGGCGCGTCCAGTGCTCCAGGATCTGGCCCCGGAGACACGCTTCACCAGCCAGCAGGGCCGGAAGTGCCGAACGAAGCCGGGGCCCTGCCCTGCACGGGGAACTCCGTTCTTTGTTCCTTGGCCTCTCGGCTCGACCTAGGCCTTACACCATGGACCAGGCCGCAGGATGCAACGGGTGGAAAGGCCCGAGTTGAGCTCTGCATCTGCATGCTTTCATTCTTCTACTCTCTGAGCTTCCAAGTTATGCACCGTGACTGGACCAGGACTGACAATCGAAGGCTGCAAGGACCCTCTCGGATTGTGTGATCGGCTTCGCCGTTCCATTGGCAGGTTCTGACGTGTCAGGTGATCTCGAGCTCGGCATGAGCTTTGCACTGTTCTAAAAAGGTTTTGTGTGGTCTCACTGCAGACTGAGCTCTGGAGTTTGTACGAGTGCCTTCCAGTGCAGTGCTAGTGGACCAAGCCTGTCGGGCTGCATCTTGATCTTTGCATGCTGCAAAGTGCAGGACAAGTGTCGCATGAACAGCATTGCCGAGAAGTGTCCGGCGAAGCTTTGCGCAGCGGCAGTTTTCTTCACGTTCCCCGGCTTGCTGAGGCGTCTTGTCATCGCCAGTCACTTGCCGTTGTAGCTGTGCTACCAGGAACTCGGGCTTCTGTCACCTCTACGACGAGTGTGAAGAGACGGAGCCAGACCGGAGCGCTCTGCTTCTCCACCGGGAGGCGCGGGGCGGAGTCCCGGAATCCGCTACTGGTCCGAGTCACCGCCCTCCAGGTCACGGCTTTGCAAACCTGGCCTGGGCTTGTCGTGAAGGGCGAGGAGTGCAACCCGAGCTTGGCTCTGCATTGGAGCGGATCCGTCATGACTTGGCGCTTGGAGGCCTCCCTCTCCTAAGTTCGCTTTCCCCTCGCAAGCCAGCCAAGGAACCCTGGCATGTTCGACTTCGGCGCTGGCCCTCAGTCGTTCAGCATCCTGGCCCAGCTGTCGAACGTCAAGCTGAAGAAAATCCAAGGCGGGACATGGAACAACTGCAGCCACAGCACGTTTGTAAGAGTGTGCGCTTTTACAGGACAAGTGCAGGGCCCCATCCTGAGCAAACTCAGCACAGGACGAGGCTGGAGGGAGCGATAGGAGATGAACAGCATGTTCTGAAGTGAAAAGTGTTCGAGGCAAGCGCTACTGGCCCGATGCCTACGGATGGGAGTTCGGCGTCATCTACGACAAGAAGCCGGGCTCTCATCTGCGGGATTCCGGCAAGCCGGAAGCCAGTTTCCCAATGTGCCAAACTGACGCAGACATATGCAGACACGGAGCCAGAATTCCCACGGGTGAGCTCAAGGGCAGAGCAGCAAAGTCACGCATTTTCCCATGTCGCCCCAGCAATGAGGTGCAGATGCCGACTGCTGCGCTTTCTCCTCCGCACAGCCTCCGGGCACACGCTCCTCACTCTGTGAGTTCTGCCTTTTCGTGTAATGGCCCTGCAGTGAATTTGTCGTGGATGGCCAGACTTTGGGTTTGACGTGGCAATGCATCGTTGTTACTGTTTGTTGCACCCATCAACAGAGCACTGCACCATCTGCACCCAGATCTGCACCCAGCTCCCTGTTATTGCTTCATCAAGGTTTTACGGGTACGGCAAGACCCCGCTGACAGGGGCAGAGGCAGCGCTTTCTCGCCAGTCTCTTTCCGCCTCAAGAGGTACTCGAAGCTTTCGTGAACAGAAATCTACTGACGCGACCGATGCTTGAAGCCTGCACCTGCTCTTGCACGACAGGTGGAAGTTGCAATGTCTTTCGATGCCAAGGCTGCCTCAAGGGCCTTAAACCATACAAATGGTCTTTGCTATTTTGATATGTGGTGGTTCGCTGAGAATCTGGGAATCTTGATAGCAAGGCTTTGGAGACGACAGCTTTTAAATGCTTTTCATGCTCAGCTTGAGAGGAGTGGGCAGCACCGCATAGGCGGTGATAGGTCTGGCTAATCAAGCTAACACTTTCACTGCTGTCATGTCCAGGCTGCGAGGCTGTTTGCAAGTAGCCTGGATTGGACCTGGACAACATGTTCCGAAATTTGGGGCTTGCTCTACCCTGTCCAGGATTTCACCACCACTATGTGGGTCAATGGCAAGGAGGATACTGCAGTAGCGGTTGCAGGTAATGGGGCGCAGCTGCATGCAGGAATTCATGGGGGAGGTCTGTGTGGTTGATGTGGGCAGCCAGTGACCGCTTGCAAGCCTGTCAGGAGAAAGTTGCACAGCGACCTCAGTGGTATCGTACCCGCTTTGCCGGTGATTTCTCCTCGCGTGCAAAGCTAACGTGCCCAGCGCCGCAGTATAAATCAGGCGGATGCTTTAAACTTTAAACAACACAGAGGCAGGTATTCAGACAAGCAGCCATGAAGGAGCTCGTAGACACCGAACTATACCAAGTCAAGCGGCCTTTGGCTGATCCACTTCAGAAGGCAATGGCATCATTCGCAGACTCGATGCTGAGGATCGGCCGCCGATTTGGTGGCTCCCGGCTCTTCGACGGCCTCTCGCTCGGAGGAACTCGGGGTGCCGACGTAATAACCGTAAGAGACCGCCAAGGCCAGCTCTTCAACGTGGTTCTCTACCGTGGCGTGCTGGAGGACAAGGCAAGGCAGCTCTGATCCACGAAGTCTTTCAGCGGAGTGTTGGCAGCTGCGGAAGGACTTTGGTGTGGAGGTCACCACCCTGAAGTATCAGTTCGTTGGAGTTGGAAGGACGCTTAGCGATGACTGGATCCAGGCCAGGAGCAGCAAATGCCCAGGGAGTGAGGGTGAGAGACAGTTTAGTTATACCTCCAACCGGTCAGGAGCATCAGCCAGCACGGCAACCTTGCCCTCCTAAGCTGAACGACCAAAGTCAGTTTGGCTAAGCCATTTTGGATCAAGACTCCAACGCTGGGCTCTGTGACAGGTCCTTTGTGACTCCCGGCTTGATCCCATGACCGAGAACCTGTCTCCCGTCGCATATGAGGCTGCCGTGGACAACTTCAATGCGCTCGCGGAAGCAATGGGCGGAAGAGGGGCTGATGACATGACTTTTGAGAGCACTGACGGAGAGAAGTTGCAGGAGATGGTTGCCAATTGCGAAAATGGTGTGTTTCTTGTCTTGCTTGGGGGCGGTGATGTGGATGTCACGAAGCATTCAAACAAGCTCTACATCAGTGAGCCTCGCACTGACGAAGACATTTACGAGTACATTCACAGCTTCGTGATCATCAAGACAGAAGAAGAGGGAGTGCAGTGCTTTCAGCAATTTCCCGGTGGGATGGACAGTGACAAGGAACTCTTTTCAGTTGAGCCTGAGTTTTGGTCTGACTTGCAACGCTTAACAGCCCACAGCCGCGCGGGAGTGGTCCCAAAGACTTTCCAGCGTCTCTTCTGTGGCAGCGTTGAGCCATCGCCAGCACTACTTCCACCTCATGATACGATGATCGTGAAGGCCCTTGCCTATTGATGCGCTGGCTCGTTGTCAAATTTACTTCACCTAGGTGGTGGTCTGAGATTCACAGTTTCACTGCTGTTGTCGGAAGCCATTACGACAACACGCCCGAGCTGTGCGAACCTAGTTTTGAGCTGCTTGTCAGATCACTCCCATAACATGTCCATTTCTGCCGTGCATTGGTGTTGCTCTTATCCTGGGAGTGAAACACGAGAGCAGTTCACGACCTGCCTGAAGACCGTCACAAAAATTGGCCTTAAGCATCATCTTGTTCTTACGTTGCTGCGTTGTTGTTGGTGCTCCGCGGGGCCAGAACACGACGGCCTCATACAGGCACAATTTGTCACTTGCATGGTGACAGTGCAGCATCCCCCCCCGACAGGAACGGTCTGGCTCGAATGTTTCACTTGAGGCTGTTCGGATAGTCATCGTCTTGCCATCTTCCGGTGTGTGCAAACTCGCCCGGGCTCTTTCCCTGTGGCTGTGACGAAGAAGACAGTGAGGTGCAGCAGGCTTCACAGTATGGTATGACAGATCCGGGCTTGAGACATGCAATGTCTGCGTCTGAAGGTGCGGACGTCTCTGCTAGAAGAGGAGGTGCCAGTATGGGCGGCGGAGAGCTTGAGCTTCCTTGCTGGCCTGACTTCAGCTTCGGTGGGGCAGTGCCATAGGAGCAACTTTCAGGATTTCTGGTCATTTTGTGATGCACCTCCCTGCTATCTTGAGGTGCCCCAAGCTATCGGGCTCTTACAGGGCACTCCCTGCCACAGGCCGACTCCGGCATCTTCGGTGTCGCGGAAGGTGGCAATTGGAGCGAGGCAGAGAGCTTTTTTTTAACATGAAATTCAGAGGTCCTTATACTATCATGTTCTCTAACATGCTCTACTCTGCTATGCTATACTATACTATACTATAATATACTGTAATATGCTATAATGTACTATAATATACGATAATATACTACAATATAGTGATAGAGCGCTGCTCGCAGGCTGTGCCGTGCAAGGGTTGCAGCCGCTACACTGAACACCGCGTTGGTGGAGTTTGCCAGTATGCAGCCTTGTTGCAATGAGTTCTTGGATGGAGATCGAAGAACGGCTTATCAGTGCGGAAACTGGTAAGTTTGCAGGACATAGCCAGGCCATAGGAAAGTTCAGCTTCTGTTGTCTCTTTCGGTGATTCTTGTGCCATAGTTTCTCGAAGCCATCAGTACAGTAGATATGCTGGATTCTGCATGTCTCGGGCACTTGCGGCTAAGGACAAGTCCAAGACCACGTGTGCAGTCTGCATGCCGCCGCATGAAGGAGCTGTCGACAATGAGGAAGTTTATGCAATGCATTCGAGTTACATCCATACTATACTCATTGCTTACCGAACGAGTCTTCGGGCCGAGACTGCTGGGACTGCGAGGAGTCTTCAACTGCCAATGCGGCCGGCGCTTTCCACACACCTGCGCCCCCTGTGGCAAAGAAGAGCTGTGCTCGTCCTTGGCAAATGAGGTGGGCGGGGGTTTTTTTGGAGCACGCAGATAGCGGGCAGAACTACCAATCCCCTGTCAGCCTCCGCTGGAGCTGGGACGCGCCACGATGAATGGCGTCAGCTTTCAGCTCAACTGTCAGTCCTCCGGAACTGCACCTTTGGCCGCAGAGCAGATTTTGGTTTGAACGTTCCAGCGTTGCGTTCAATCGTTTGAGACCCGGGGATCCGCGTGTGATTGCAGAGGAGTTTCTGGGCTTGGGCACAGTACGTGCTTCGGTGCGTATGAATTTCAGAGCAGCGTTGCTCCAGAAATCTCTGCAAACCCCGCAGCCAGGTGCAGCTGCAGGCGCAAGTGGTGGCACCTTACGGCCAGGGCCCAAGTTTCGTGAAGAGCGAGCATGGCTTCCGGGAGATGTCATTGGCCTTGGGGCGATGGGTTTCACGGGTTGGCTCGCGTAGGTAAGGAGAGCTGGGAGGCAAAGACTCAAGGGTGGGCCCGGCTGCAAGCTGGTCGAAGACATAGGGCATGGAGATGGCCTTAAAGCGGAAGTAACAACCTATCAGTGCCGTGCACGAATCCAAGCAACACAAGGTGGCTCAGACGTGTTCTACCTCTCCATGGGTAGCTGCCCGTCATGGAGGCTGGACAATCTGGACAGAAGGAGTGAGGGCACGCTTTTTGATGGCATTGTCGTGGGCTCTGCCACAGCTCTCATCTCTTGCGCTGAGGGATGCGATGTTTTTTTTACTTGTTCTCGCAGGTGGTTCCTGCATTCGGGCTGGGGGACGAACTGCGCTGAGGACGGCATTGACGGCAGTGGGAGGTTGGGAGCATTCTCCTGGTATCACAGTGTGTAAGACCCTTTGGCAGGACGACAGCTGTGCGTATCAAGAAGAGCCACGCTGGACCGTGAAGTCGGATCCGTGTAAGTTGCTGGACTTACATTGAAAGGGCTCTGGGTCGGGAGGCGGGAATTCCTGTATTGCACAACAAAGGCTGCGAGAGGGAAAACATTTTGCCACTTGGAAGAATTCAATCAGTCAGGCAGTGCACCGCTTAATTTCTGTGTGTGCAAGCGCTGGCTCGGCCCAGCTCCGGAATCCCTGAGATGGCACTGGACTTTCAGATTGCTCAGGTCACCTTTCGACCCTCGCATCCCGGTGACATCAAATTGACGAGGCTGCTGGGAAGGGGGGTGGTGTCAGCTTGAGACTCTTCGACTATGCGGCTCTGCGGAGCTGTGTGCAAAAGGCCTTAGTCACCGTAACGGGAAGAGAGGGCTAGAGAATGGCAAGCAGGGCTGCGTGCCCATACGAGAGTTTGAGGTCTGTTAGAGGTGGTTCCGAGTTCGGAGCTCTCAGCTGCTGCAATGAAATGCCTCTGTAGCCTCTAGCAGACTCCAGCACAGCCTTGGATCGAACGCAGTGCTTGTCTCCTGGCTTCCGAAGGCTGCGCCTGACAAGTGGCTCAGATTTTTGCACGCCTCTTGACGGCAGACTCCTGCAGCTTTTCCAAGAAAGCTGCACCCGTGCAACCGTCCACGCTTGCTTTCAGACGTAGGAAGCTGCCTTTCTGGACTTCTCTCAGAGCTGGCTCAGGTTTGAGCCACTTCCACCTGCCAGCACTACGACAACCACGACCTACACGACTCCACCGTCGGGAACTGAGGATGGCCCTGATTGTTTCCGAGAGCGTGCCAGTGACTGTTCATGCTTACTAAGAAGAGCAGGCAAAGATTTCCAGGATGGGACCTTCAAGTGAAACCTGACGAGGTACTTGCAAGGCGCTTGCCCATCCGAAGCAGAAGAAGCCACCGATTTCAACAACTGCCCTTTCCGATACTATGCCACGGCCTGAGGGCTGTGCCGACGCTGTCCGCGCGCTTTCTTACGGCGTCGCTTCTGGATGCACTGGGTTCCGCATCTTTCCTGTAGCGAAGGTGTTGGAAGTGCTTTCCACCGCCGGGGACGAGGCAGGGCTCAACCACCTGAGGCAAGCCAGCGAGATTCCGAATGTAGCAGGCCGCGTGGAAAATCGGCGAGTTGCGGCTCTACTACCTCAATGCCAGGGGACGACTTCGGAAGCCGCTCGCCTCAGATTTGGCTGAGTAGAAGCTGCAGGACCGACCGGTCTCCATCGGTCTCCAGAGAAAGTAGTGTATGATCCTTGGGAGTAATCAGTTGTTCAGACTAGTGTTCATATTAGTCCAGTTCTTGTTGCGTTATACTCAGAACACCTTTGTGCCACTTGTACCGAAAAGCGTTTCCAGCAGCTCACCTGAGGTTCCCAAGCTCAGATGTGCGCGCAGAGCTCGTCCAGGAGCATTTGCGCATATGCTTCTGTGCAGGCTTTGCAGAATATCCCTTCCGCGCGACAGACTTTTGAACTCTCCCCAGCAACTCGTGGTGGAAGCCAACTTCCAGAATGACGCTTAAGCGTGCCATTCTGCAATTTGCCCTTGCGATCCATGCGGCGACTTCATTTTTCAGGGATGCAGAGGGTGCTCGGACGAAGCGAATTTGAGAGGGGATACACGTGTGATGTACCAGAGGCCGCTTGTTCGACACTTTGTGGGTGCATGAGCATGAAACGACACGATGAAAGGAGCCTGTACTCGAGCAAAGCGGTTTTTGGCCGATTGATCGTAGGTTGCGAGAGTCATGCGAAGCGTAAGTGCCATCCCGTCGAGAGGTGGGAGGCAGCAAGGTAGCAAAGCTGCAGGCAAGTGCGACTCCAGTGCGACCCGAAACAAGCTCCAATTCTGCAGGACGATGCCGAGACGCGAGGCTGCGAAGCGAGCAACGCCTCGAATGCCTTTGACCTGTCTGTCTTCAGCGGCCTGTGCTCGCCGACACTCGAACCAAGATTTGTTGTGAGCTTCTTTGTTGGTCTCTGGGAAGAGTCCGGTGATGCAGGAAATGAGTTCGCCTTGCCCCTGGCAGCGTTTGCATTTGTAGGTTAAGCCTTTGGTCCCTTCCCCCTACTATGCAAAGTTCCTCCAGACATTCTCATTAATTAGCTAGCTTCCCCTGACACTGCTGGTTGCTCGTTCTTGATGGGCACTGTCTCTGCAGCATGGTACAGCCCAGTACCATGGGTATTCGGATATGTCGGCCTGACATCGTCAGCACAACAGAGATGCCGGTAGTACATCATGAGGTTGGGCCAGCACCTGTACCGAGGAGCCCGATGATCAAGCTGAGATTGGATCTGGGCCGGGGTGTCTCCATCGCCAAGTATACGGTAGCCCGGCAGAAGGGAAAAGAGACTCCTAGATCCAACGAGCGTGTTCGCTGAGCCGGTCCTCCCTAGAGTGCAGCTTTCATCAGGTCATCAGCGCCAATGACTCTCGGCCAAGTCATAGATGCCGCATCAAAGCCACGCCATGTCACTCTCCCACGATGCCCAGACGCGACCGCTGTGTACACGTGCATTTCGCACCGTCCGTGACGATTTTTTTCGTTAGGCCTCCAGCTCCTTCGATCCGAAGTCGTGGAGGCCGGGGAGTTGTCGGCTGCCTGTGGTTTGGCTATCCTTCACCAGCACCTTTGAGCTCCGAATTCTCCGAGGTTATGGGGTTCAGTTGATGGGGCAACAGCGAGCGACATGCGCGCAGCCCAGGATGGAAGCGATGCCTTGACGAGTGCAAACATGGCCCTGTGTGCTGAGGACATCGCTTTCCACGGCAGTGAAGCTCAGCGACGTGTCCCAGGCAGCACTGTTTGGAGCGCAGCATCGAACGTGCTATGTAATAGTTGAATGAAGACATTTTCGTCAGCTGTAAAGTCGTGAGGAGTGGTTAGAAGCCAAATCCCCGGCCTGTGACAGCCAGGCGTACTTCCCATCTGCTCGCTGGATGTGTGATCCTCCGTGGGGTGTTCCACGAAAGCGAGGCACCCCAAAGATAGATTCTGACATATTCTGACACTTTGCAAGTGGCCGTGGCTCATTGGCTGCATACAGCAGAGCTCGTTAAGCTCCAAACTGTACCATGGGTGGAGGCTACCACTGCATGGCCACAACGACGACGACGACAACGGAGGCCTGGTGAAGGTTTGGCCTTGTTCTTCGGAGCAAGGTTTGCAGCTCATGGACAAGGAGTTTTTTCGTTCTTCTCTCTTGATATTTCCCCAAACTTAATACAGCTCACATGGCTGCTTCAGCTTGGCCGGCTCGGGTGGGTGACTTCTGGTTGCCCAACAGAGTTCATTGTCACTGAATTGCCGTTTGCTGGAGGTGGAGCAAGAGATCATTCCGACCACGACGACCACCACTGCTATGATCAAGAAAGATCGGTGCTTTTACAGAGCCTCGACAGATGACTCAGAGCTAGTTCAGTCTTCTGTCTGCTGGTGATCTTTTCCTGGATCCCGGCTTTAAGTACACTGGTCTCCAAGGATACTATGCCCTGCAAGTGCTGCAGGCCAACGACGCGAAGGCAAGGCATGTCCTGCAAATTACGAAGTCAAGCAAAGGCTCCCTCCTGTAGCGGATCCGGCAGCGGCCTGTCGTAGACGAGTTTTCAGGCGACAAGCTGGCAATTGGCAGAGTTGGAGCTCAGGCAGAATGGCAAGGTCGGGAATCCGCAAGCACGAGCCGGAGGATAGTCCACGCCAGCAGTCGTGTAGCTGCCAGGCCTTGCTGTTGCCAAAGTCGCGAGGGTCAGCTTGGTGACGGGCTCAGATGTCATGTGAGTGTCAACACTGCCGAACACGGACCTTGTAAGACCTGTCAGTTCGACTCAGCAGCAGTACTTTCACGATTCAGAAGAAAATCATACCCTTTCTAGCACGGTTTCAAGCACTTGCAGATCCGAGCCGCTCATGTGCCCCAATCTCCGGAGTTCACGAGGTTCGTCCACGGCCGTGCGAGAAGGCCAACTCGTTCCTGCAAAACGACACTTTGAATTGTCCATCCCGGACTCTTGAGAGCTGCTCTCTTTCGATGCTCTCTCCAAGTCTGATGGGTGATTCCGGGAGGCCCGGGACAGTTCTTGATGCAGGGCGCTCAGTGTCGGCGTGTCGACGGGCCCAGCCATGGATCTCCGGTCACCATCGGTCTTTGCGAAAGCTGCATAATTATTTAGTCCCCGGGCCCCCAAAGTCGAAGACTTGCATGCCCAAGGACCATTCCAGGAGCACCGAGGCTCCTACCATCCCCAAATACGCACCGCGCTGTGGCGGCAACACCCGCCAAAAATACCAGCCCCGCGGGACTGCGGCGCGAGCAGGGTGCTTGGAGGGGGAAACACGAGTGGAGGTCGCAAAGTTTCCAAGCGCCGGACTATTGTGGGAGTTCGACGCGCGCGGCACTGTCGAGGAAGCATGAGGCGGAATGACGCAAAACTCCGAACGCCCTAACAGTCGTGGACTTCGAGCCACGGACCACAGCAAGGACCGCTTAGAAAGCCTTTTTGGCGCATGGCTATAGGGCTATAGACTCCTTGAACTCTGCCGGCGCCTCGGCCTCGGCCTCGGGATTGAAAAAGAGCGCAACTTCGATATCGCAGAACTCTCGGGCCCGGGCCCTGGAGTTTACGACCGGCCGCCATGACTTGAATCACAAGGCGCTGCCCGGAGTGAATCGCAGGGCGCCACAACCTAAAAATCCGTGACGTGACACTCGAGGACTACCTGGATATATCTGGGTGTCTCTGCGCATGTTCAATATCTGGACGCACTCGGGGAAACTCAAGAACAGGTTAGACTCACGTTCTAGATTCGAGAGGTAGGTGTGTGTGTGTGTGTGTTTGTGTCTGTGTGATTGGTAGTGCTCCGAATCTGATTAAAAGAGCCTGTGATTCCTATATACGGTGCGTTGTCGATCTTGAAGATTCGTCCGATGCTGTGAACCTGTGGGAATGACTGCGACGTGTGTGGCGAAGCCGGTGATGGAGACGAAGGGCTCGTGCCTTGAACCATCGTCTTGGTCATGTATCGGAGTCTGTTCTCTAATTGAGGACGGCACGGAGGCTTTCAACGTCTTGGACGGAAATCTGGCAACCGTGGTTCTGTGCTCAGTTGGCTTAGCTTGATGGAGCTTGATGTCAGCAGAGCTCTCAGCAGTCGGTCGCAGAACCCATGGCTGTACCTCCGACCGTTGCGCAGGCACAGCCGGATGGCGCCTTCTCTGCGAACTACACATCCGTGCAACTGGCTTTCGGCCAGCGTGTTCGCGTGGCACGGAGTAGCCTCTCGGATGCTTTCGCTGGGTTTCTGGGTCGGTTGCATTCTGTGGGGACCATGCTGGCCTCAGGGTGAGTCCCAATTCAAGCCTCCTCACCTGTATGACTGTCAAAATGACATGGTATGCAGCAACATTTCAGAGACGAATGGCTGACTGCGGACGCACTGCCTTGGCTGCTGGACTCTGAAGAACTGTAGTGACCACTGTAGTTGCATTTCTGCTACGATCTAGCGGGGACTCGAGCAGCTGTTCCATTCCATGTTACCTTCTGAGCCCTTGTATTCCAGCCGCTCCCAAAGCGAATCCAAAGGGGCGACAACACGCCGGCAAGCCGAAAGAGCTACAGCTACACGAAGTCTCTGGTCCCAGCCCTGATCGAAATCGAAGCCTGCAGGTTCCACGTTCGATTATGCAGAAGCACATTTCTGCATGGACGCGGATGAGGATACTCGTTGCAGCACTGCCTGGAACGGAGGCGGGCTTTGGGAAAACACAGCTCTGACTTTCGGAGTGATGTCGGCAATGCAAGGCTCTGGGTTCATTTAGGCACGCGAATCATGGTAGGCGCGAGTTTGGGCAGAAACCTCGTCACCATTGCTGAGGTTCAGGCGAGCTGAACCCGTGGTGGCAAGTGGACCTCGGAATCCGCGAGGCTGTGTTCTGGTTTCTATACATGCAAGAGCTTCTCCTGTCTAGTCTCGCACGTTTGTCTGTATGGGAGAGTGATGTGTGTCGGCCGACCGGTGAATGACTTGGAATGACTTGCTGTGGCTGGTTGTTGTGTTTGCACAAGCGCCACCCATGCCTCAACTCGGTTTTAGCAGTTAGCTTATGCAGGCTTCGGATGTTAAAATTGCGAACACCCAGATTCGAAACCATGTCGTGACTGCTGCTCGAGAGGCTGTGGAGATTGTCGCGTTGCTGAGCCATCCTGACGGCCCCTTGAACAGCGAACTCGTTTGAGATTCAAGGGGGCAGAATTCTGTCAGATGGTCATGACTGGCAGCGTTCTTCTGCGAACGATGATGTTTTGGGGCTCCACTGCCTTCCTAGATGCAGACAGGCAGTTGCCGGTCGGATGTCAGGCCATCTAGATCCACGCACCGCACAAGATAGTGCGAGTAGATCTTCTGTGACGGTAACATTAGGTAAGGTGAATGTGAGCAATTCTCATGCTGAACCCTCAGGTTGTGAAGCACGCTATGGCGTAGACGTTGGAGACAAGTGACTCGGCAATTATGTCAACTGGCGCTCCGAGACGTATCGCCGAGCCACGTCAGGTGCACGCCCACTGGCGCCGTCGTCAGCGTCAGCGACGTGTCCTGCACAGGCAGGGCCAACCAGATTTGATCAGGTTGCCATGGTGTTTCAATATGTTTCAATGATATGCTGGGACCTCGGATGATCTCGGATAGTTGTTGCAGCCGGAGTCGGGTGATTTCGAGTGCAAAAAATATGGCCACGAAACATGTCCGCCTTTCCCAGAGCCACGCATTGCTGGTGGCGAACGCATCTGCCCTCAAGCACTTGAGACCCTGCAATGATAATACTTCGACTTTTGCCCGGAGGCCACACTTGTCCCGGTGAGCCCTGCGGCAAGTTGGAGGTCACAGGCAAGGACAACTGGTACTATGCGACTTGGATTGATTTATTCTGAAGGGCTGCGGCCCGGAGGAGACGGCGCATATTGGCATCCACCAGGGTGTGTTGAACAGCCCCGTCATGTTCTGCGACACCGTCGTGGGCGGGGCTGAAATTACCAGGCTCCCTGGAGTCTGCCCAAAATCACTATTCGCCGCCCTTGACATGCCAAGGTCTCCTGCGAAGGCAAAGTGGGCCGCTACGTGCAAGTGCAGCTGAAGGGCCAGCGAGTCCTCAACTTCCGTGAGTTCCGACTTCTCGACAAGGCCGGCAGGTCCAAAAAAAGCAGCGCAACGAGCCGTGCCTTTGCAGCCGACGTCTCGGCAGGACATGGTGACTGATGTGGATCTACCGGAACCTTCACAGAAGGCGGCCATGGACTATTTCGCTTCATGGCATGAATAGAAGCACATGAAGCACAGTCCGCTTTTTGTAAAGATCCTGCTCAGCTCAATTTAGTAGCTTCGCACGGGATGCATTCCTGGTTGGGTCAGTGTCAAGCATCAAGCGGCGGCAGCTGAACGGAAGTGCCGAATGTTTCGTTGCGATCACAAGTTCACCAACGTCCACCAGCCACACCCTCGAGACCCCGGCCTTTTCGTCTTCTAGCGTTTTTGTCTGCTTTAGAATCTAGCACCTGCCCCGGCTTTGTGATCGGAGCACGTCTAAACACACTTTGTGGAAATGCGAAACGACCTGAGCCTTTAAGTGTGTGGAAACGCATCGTCGCTGAGGTCCGAGCAGACCGTAATGGCTACTATGACACTCGGTGTCATGAGCCGCCTGGTCTGCACTACAGCAGGCCCAGGGTGTGCAGCGGCGAAAACAGTTGGCCTTCTGAACGAACTTCTTGGTGCTGTCTAACGCAGGAGGGGCCCGTAAAATTCACCGAAATCCAAAAGCCTCCGTCCTTCTGCTGTGCTCAAGGAACCTTGCCAGCACCATCCGCGGCTCCAGCACAGCGCTTATATACATGTCGAGTCCCAGACTCTCCGGCCAAATTGCCACGGTCAGGGATGCAGATTGAAGCCCTGAGTTCAATCCGTACAAGTATCGAGACGGATAAGTCCTTGATCATCCCGGGCAGCTATCACGAAGATCGCGGATGTCGCGCCCGCGACTGTCAAAGTCAGGCCCGAAGAAGTTGGAGGAGTGCGCACAAGCATGCCGCTGACTCAGCGCACGTCATGAGCGCAGAGTACACAAGGTGCTTGAGTTTTCGCCCTTACGGCTCAGAAGTTCCATGAAACCTCGTTGTCGGAACTTGATCGCCTGGGGCACTTGCGAATGCCACTTTCTGTAGACCTTACGGCGAAGTAGCTTGAGGCCTCAATCACGGAGACTGCGGAGGTTTCTCTGACTACAGTGGTATGGCCTGTGCCGGGCACCGAGACGATCAGGTGTTGGCTTGAGGGCATCCTTAGATCCCCGGTGCATGGCCTGAAAAGTTTCAACAGACGAGGGTCGTTGCCGGGCCAAATGCGGAGCTGCTCAAGCGAAGCACAGGAGTTCTTTTACTTCCTCAAGTCGTGTTGAACAAACTGGTGCTGTATTTCTGTCACCGTTATCTCCAGGGTGCTAGATGAAGTTGCAGCAGCGCCAACGCCGTCACGAGCATCCGTCCGGACAAATTGGTATTTTGATGAAGCGAGTTACAAGCAACCAGAAGAATAGTACGAGACAAGTAGACTAAAAATGCACGACCGTGTTCAAGACGATGCGCAACAAATGTACAGGAATAGCATGGGAAGCTGCGAGAACCTGCGAGAGAAATGTGGGAGTACGATGTTACAAGAGTCGCCATTTTCCCGGGACGGGACGTTACTCGCGTGGCGTGTGTGGTCAAGGTTGTCTTTAAAAGCAGGATGATACCATCATATTTGTCACGTATCTCACATGTCCTCTGCCATTCTTGTCGTATGTTTTTCGCACCTGCGACCCGGAACCTTTCCAGGGCAGGGGCTGCATCTACGACAGAAATACGGAGACCAAAGTCACGGGAATGCGAACACGGCGGTTTGCACGTTTTCTGATAAAAATATGAGTATGCAAACATCGCCTGACGGTTCTGCCAAGCAGGTCATCATGACGAAGTCGAAGGCCTCGCTGGAACAGCGATGTGCGTGGACGGAGCCTTGCCACGATGTGGACTGAAAACGGTGTGGAGGGGTCTTTAGCAAGCAGATGCTAACCCCACACCTCACATCCTATACTCCCCCCTATGCTTTCAACCCATTTCTCAACCCGCCTCCCAAAATCAACCTTCCAAAACACCAAAACACCAAAACACAAAGCACCTCCCAACACAAAAGCAATAATCCCGAAAATAAAGCAACCCGCCAAATCCAAACAGCAATCCATAACACAACCCAAAACCCAAAGCACCTAAACAATCCATAACCTTATCCATAAAATAACCAATATCCTAACATGAGGTGTGGGGTAAGACCCTAATAGAAAAACCCAAAAGACCATAGCCCTGAACTGGGAAACGACGACAACGGCGAGTTCGTCTATGAGACGGTGCGCCTGCCATGTTTGCGAAGCTTTGGCAATTCCTGTGATTTGAAGGCGACGCCATTGCTTACACCGTGCCGTTCCGGCTGCAGCTTTTCAGGAGTTGTATTGGCCCTTTGATAGACGCAGTTGTTGTTCTCATTCATGTTAAGGCAGAAGCTGAAACAGAACCCAAACCCTAGA